TGTTCAGGAGCAAAGTATTTCATTCTTAATCGCTGTTTTATTACTAACTGCTGTAGCGTTAAGGAGTGGCTACATATGTACTAAATGACCAATAAGATGTGATGATTCCAGATAAATATGAAATATCAACCTGTTTGGTCTTTCAATGTTTAATCAGAAGACTTTAGTTTCTTTTACTTATTCAGGGACCATTTACTAATAGTAAAACACAAATGTCTCTGATTAAAGAGATAGTTGTTAGTTATTACTACGTCTTTAATCAGTTTTTATTAGTTATTTTACTATCCATGTTAGCTATTATTATTAACATTATTTATTTATTTATTTTCATTTTACTTATTTTAATCATACCAGTGTTTCCTCTGTGGGGCCCTCTGCCTCGGGGGTGGTGGTCGACTGTGGCGGCCTGGGCGCTCCTAGGTTGTGCTTAGGTGGTGGTGGGGGTTTCCGTCCAACCTCCCTGGGAGCCCTGGTTTGTCGTTGTTTTGTGTGTGTGTGTGTGTGTGTGTGTGTGTGTGTGTGTGTGTGTGTGTGTGTGTGTGTGTGTGTGTGTGTGTGTGTGTGCCTGGCAAATGGGTTGTGAAATGGGGGGTGTAACTGTCATAATTGTTTTTATATTTGTGGGGAAGGGATGGGTGAATGGGTTATATGGGGTCATTTTAATCTGTAAAGCACCTTGAGCTGCATTTTCTTTTGTTTGATGATGATGTTGATGATGTTGATGATGATGATGATGATGATGATGATGATGATGATGATGATATAATGATGAAGATGATTCATGATTCAACAAAGACTATCTTTGTTCAGAGTGAAAGTGAAAGGTCTCGTCTTCTGCATGAGACCTTGGACTATATGGCCTCCTTGTTCGGTAACAAGGTCTGGTGCAGTGCTTCTTGTGTGGAGGCCAGACAGATGTGATGTTTGTGTCTGCAAATTAAAAGTTCGTTTCTGGTCATTTTGTTGAAAACATTGACCTTTGGTATGCTAAATTGCATTCTCTGTATTTATTTATTTCACCCCACCATGCTTTTTGAAAGATATTTTCATGCAAAACCCCCTAAGTAAACTCTATCCTTCATCTATTTGGACGTTTAAATGATTTTGGTCCAAATGTGTGTGGTCAGCAGCACGCAGGTCCTCTGTACACGGACGTTTCAGCGTCGTTGCTATTGTCCTCCAGCACACTGTTCCATTCTGCACTCGGCCCATGGCCACCACAGAGACACTTCCCAGGATAAATACAAGCTTTGCTCCAAACCAGAATGTTTACATATAGCTGAGCAGCTATTTCTTTCCCCCACTTCTCCGTTTGCGCCTCACAAAAAATTCATACTTGTCATGCAAAATAAATCAGCGTCCTTTTGCGAAGCCGAGCCCCACATGGCTTGCAGAGTGAATAAGAGATGAGGCTTAAATGTTTGCAGCCTCCTGCCTGACACTTCCCATCACATCAGCAGTGTGTGTGTGTGTGTGGGAGCATCTGGGAGTGTGGGGTTGTTATACACTCTGCTGTGGGTGTAATGAGCCGTGTATGTCGTTATTGTGCATTTAGTGTGGTGTCTTCAGAGAGTTGTTGGAGCATTTAGGACCCTCTGATACCAGAAACACACTCAGTACTGCAGTTGAATACAAATAACACTCAACTATCAGCATGTGATCTGTTACTTTTATTTCCTGTCCAAGAATTGACATCTGCAAGCAAGAAAAAGTAGCTTACTTCTAACCAACATCTCTATGACCAAGATTTGTTTTAACTGAATACAGTTGTAATGAAATAGATTACAGTTATTTAATGAGCCATAAGGCGTGGGATTCCATTGGAAATATGAAATCCACCTTACGGATAGGTGGGTTATTTAAACCAGAAGATTGGATCTTTTTAATGCAGGGATTAGATAACCGTTACGTATTCACTCAGAGACAACAGAATAGAGAGAGTCAAGTTTAAAAGTTAAGAATTTTATTACTAATAAATTAAACTAGACTGACTTTAAAACTAAATGTATAGTGTAACTAAAATGGATGAGACGGTGAATGGATGATGTGTGATGTTAAATCAGAACCAGCAAATCCGAAGAAGCTATTGTTCTGACGGGAACTGAAGGTGTTGTTTTCGCACTAAGCTTTGGTTAGGAGGTCTATAAACACATGAGACACCATTATGTCGGTCTACCTACCCTTCGTGGAAGTCCTCTGTAGATCAGGAATATCGAGTTCCAGTGGACCCTCTCTGGAACTGAGCCGGTAGGAAAAGCCGTGAATCCGATCAGACCCGTCTTTGAGTTACTTCCGTGTACACGACAGTTTGTGGTGTCTGGTGAGACCCAAGCCTGGGTCTGGATATTTCAGCTTTTATTCTGAAAGGAATGTTGTCGCTGTTGGAATAGCGACAAATTTTTCAGCTTGTCGTTGTTCTTTCAGTTAAAGAGTTTAGATCAGGATTGGCCACTCCGTCACTTTCTCTGGAATGCTTTGAACCGGCGTTAGAGATGACGTGGCATAGTTTTATACTTTGGATGTTATGGTTTATTGTCAAATGAAAAATTACCAAACACCATCAAAACCACACCTCCGTCAGATCTGTAAGATTCTGATTGGATCAGTGAAAGTAATGTGTTATTTCTTTTTAACGTTACGTGAAATGAGTCCTGTTGGAACACTTAAAGTCATATTACTTATTATATTCTATAGAATCGGAAAAAGTAATTAATATTTTGATTTCACAGATCGGTCACATCTTATTTATTGACTAACACTTTGATGGATTAGCTTTATTAAAATAGAGTTCTTTGATTAATTAAAAGAAAAGAGTTCATTCTTCAGTCTTCTGTTGAGCTGAAAATAAGCAGGTTAGAAGGAATGCATGAGACCTTGAGGCCATACCTCATGCAGACTAGTTCTGAGCAAAGAAGAGAAAAAAACGTCATTCCGTTCCGTTACACAGTACACAATACAGTAGTTTGGTCTGAAGAAGCCATTGCACGTAAGAATGGTTATCATCATAACAGTCACTTAGGAAAACTACAGCGGTACGGCATCAGTGGGGGGACAATCAGCTATGTTAATAATAGAAGACGGTTTGAGCAGAAATGTCCCTATAGATCAGCTTGGAGTACCACAGGGCTTTAGTTTGGGTCCTAAGCTGTTTATACATAAAGGGCTCATGGTTGTGTCGTCATCACTGATGCGGCTGCCCCATTGACGACCCACGAGTCCTTACTTGTTGCTTGTTACTACTGTAAACAGCACTCAGACTCATTCGTGCAGCTTAAAGTAATCTCTAATTCCTTTGATTGGTTGTATCACACAACTATGGTAAATCGTTGCTGTGTTGTGGGGTCAACACGTGATTGCCAGGGAAAACTGAAAAATCTTTCACCATTTAGCTGCTTGGAGACATAGCCATGGAGACCAAGTATCTGACACACCCAAGTCACAGTTGTAAGAAGACCAAACATCACATTACAGTCTTTTCATTCTGGTACGCTACAGATGGTGTACGTTTTTTACACATCTTTTCTTTCCTTCAACCGCGACACACACGCACACACACACACACACACACACACACACACACACACACACACACACACACACACACACACACACACACACAACTTCTTCAGCCACATTCTTTTATGGGGCATTTTTGATTGTTCTCCTAGAAAAAGCAGAAAGTGGAACGTTTACTCGTCATCTGGACACGTATGCCGCTCACGTCACAAACATGATAGCACAACAGGTCCGTTGTGCAGAACAACAAGTTGTTGTCAGTGCTCCAGTCTTGGATCCAAACCGTTTATAATGCTGGTTTAGTCCACATGCCGGTCCCCGACATCTTTATTTAACCCATCCCTGTTTGTTCTTCATCCTTTTGGGATTTGAACAAGCTCGCCCCTTCCTTTCTCCCAAATCTGCTTCTTCTCTGTGACACACTGTTGACTTTCACAGTTTGTTTACAATCGTAAGGCCTTCAGCACATCTGCACACATCCCAGAATGCTGTGCGTGATCACGAGCCCTATTTTTGACATTTGTAGTCTCAGAAACTTTTTCATTCTTTATTATTTTTTTATTTTATTCTTTTAGCTACCAAAACAAACATTTTCTCTCCAGGACAGATTTACAGCAAATCTTAAAAATTGTTTTGATTGAGATGAAAAAATAAAATTGTGGTTTTATTTGAAATAGTTTTTATGTAATTTAAGCAAAACAGATTTTTATTATTTGGAAAACAGACTTGATGGTAATTGATAACACACCTTCTCATCTTATGTGTTGTCTTTATCTTCATGCCCATGATCATTGGTAGGTTCTCACTGAAGGCATCAAGACTATGAATGAACACATGAGGAGTTATGTACTTAAACAAAAATGGTGAAATAACTGAAAACATGTTTCATGTTCTATTTTCTTCACAATAGCCGCCCTTTACTCTGATTACTGCTTTACACATGCTTGGCATTCTCCTGATGAGCTCCAAGAGGTAGTCACCTGTAACAGTTTCCCAACGGTCTTAAAGGAGTTCCCAGAGGTGTTTTGCTCTTGTTGGCCCCTTTGTTAATGGTCATGGTAATGAAGATAAAGAAAACACATTGAATGAGAAGGTGTCTCCTAACCTGTGGCCTGTACTGTATGTATCATCTGTTAAAGAACACCTTTAGGACCTGGAAGCATCACAGTGATTTTATGGGTGAATGTATTACAACATTGTGGATAGGTTAAAACAACTTCTTTGTTCTATTGTGTACTTGATGTCATACACAGACAATTGTGTCGACTTATGGGGCCTTTAAATAATGTCAACTGAAACTGTTACTCGCTAAAAATTGAAGCGAAGACCTCAGGCCTTGGTGCATCACTCAGATGTTCATTCAATGAAGTCTTCCTGTGAGTTTCATTAAATTCTTGTTTAAGTATTTATTTGGAATCCCAAGTGTTCTCGTCCTGTCTGGGAATATCTAATGAAGCCTGATGACTTGTGTTTTTGCTCACCAGTTCCTGCCATGATCACTTCATACCCCAACACCACGCTGGCCACGCAGGGCGAAGAGAAGAAGATGAGCTGCACGGCTCACGGGGAGAAGCCCATCATGGTTCGCTGGGAGAAAGAAGAGAGGATCATAAACCCAGAGACCAGTCGCTACGTCGTTTCCATCAAGGAGGTGGGCGACGAAGTCATCTCCACCCTGCAGGTAGGTGCTGCTGCACCTCTGAAAATTAAATTATTAAATAAAACTGTAAGTGAAAATGATCTTCTGTAGTGAATAAACAGTCTTACTACTTTTAATGTCAGAAAGCAACAAAAGTGTCATTTATGTGCTGAAGGTGTTCTAATTCTTCTGAGCAGGTCATCAGCTCAGGAGATTTTACCAGACTTTCTTCCAAAACTATTTTCTCTGTATAGTAATGACCTAGCGGGTGAACGGTCAGATGTATGCTGATGACACAATGATTCATGTGTCCACTAAAACACCCAGCCTGGCTGGTGAGCACTGGACTCAGGCTCTATCATAAAACTGTGGCTGTATGCTTTTCCATTCATAACGGGCCTAATCAGGAATCTTTCAAGGCTCAGATTAAGGGAGATACCATTGAAGTGAATGTAGCGAAGTTAATCTACATAATTAGAATGTATCGCTGTTTGCTATTCAGCTTTGCTAAATCCTGAGAAAGATCAAACGATTTGGTAATGAAACTTATATTATATATTATATACATACATACATACATACATACATATATATATATATATATATATATATATATATACATATACATATATATATATATATATATATATATATATATATATATATATATATATATATATATATATATCCACGGACATTTATATAATCAATAGAAGTTCATACACCAACTGGCTTTGTCTATATTTAATCCAAAGATTAATAGTTAATTTAAGAGATTTAAATTAATAGCAAAAGTTTATTTATTAATTCAGAAGATCTAAAGAGATCTTTGCTCGTTCATTGATCAATATACAGCACTCTGTGTTTTATTTCAAAGAAGAGTCAGGTTTAAAAAGTTAAGAATTTATTACGAACAAATTAAAGATGACTATTTAAAAGACAATTCATAAATGACAATTTATAAAAGCTTTGATATTAAAACTTGGTATTAAAGCAACCTGTTTCTGGATGGAACCAAAAAGTGAGATGTGTGTGTGTTTGGATATGTGAATGTAAGTCTCAGAAGATTTCTATCTTAGAGAGAGAAAAATGCATTCTGGGTGAAAGAGTTGGGTTGCAGCTAAGCTACATTATTTCTTAAAGGAACAGGCATTCAGACGCAATCTGTGTGCTACATCACCGTTCAGACGACCCTCTGTTTGGATCCGGAGGTCAAGGGAGGATGTTGATTAGCCTCGGGGTACTAGGTCCGGTAGAGGAGACCAGTGGTACCGACTCTCTGGTCCTAGAGTTGCCGCAGGCACACAGGTGGATGGTTTTGCGTCTCAAATTAACTCTGAAGGAGTTTTGCGTCAGCTTGTTGCAGATGGCTTTTCTTGTTGAAGCAATTCTATCAGCGTGACAGAACAGCTTTGGTAGAGGTTTCGAATGGCCGACCCGATCCCCTGGAACTCTTGTGCCACGGAGAGATTTTGGTGAGCTCAAGAACTGAACTTGAACTGAGGAGTTTTGGTTTTAACATACCTCAGAACACGCCCTCTCAGAGATAGAAAACTTTGGTGTTATGGAACAAAGACATGTGAGGTGCAGTTACCTTTACCCTGACGTCTGTGTCCTGCATGGTGTGTATAAGTGCACATGACCTTCTTTACACTGTTAAACATTACTCATTATCATAAATAATAATTATTATTAACCAAAGAATAATAATTCATTTCAGTAATTAAATACATTTATAATGAACCTTGATGATAATTTATGAACCTTGTTATAGACAGTGAAAAGAGTTTATTAAAAATGATTCTTTTAAATCTTGAAGTGTCCTTCATCTTGCGGATGGAACAGCAGTCAGATAAAAGGCAGTCAGATGAAAGATGGTTTACAGCAGACTTTGTGTCTCCTGTGATGGATAATCTGTAAATAGAAGTACAGCCAGTACAGCGTGACCCAGCTGAGGAAGTGTGACCTTTGGGTCACAAATGAGGCCATTCATGTCGCTACATGAAGTACTTAGGAATCATTCTAGATAAACATTTAAAATGTGAAAGTCAGGTAAAGTACATTGGTTAACAGGTCAAACCAAAACTGAATTGCTTTAGTTTAGTCTGACGGAATAGGACATTTCACGCTGCAAAACTACTGCATGCTTTTTCTCACTTATCTTACTGCATTGCATCATGGCCACAGACATCTTCCACTACCTTGAAACCCAAAACTACAATATACAAACAAGCTATAAAAATAATGGACCAGAAACCACCGAAATGACATCATTTTAAGGAAACACAGCCTTTTTACCTTGAAAACAGTGTTGTCTAAATAATAATACCTGCTCTCAGCTCTAGCCTTTACTCGTCAAAGTTCTCGTGTGAGGAAAAGACGTGCCTCTGCTTGTGAAGGTTGTCTTGTCCCTAAATGCCAGTTTGCTCCTCTGTGAGAGGGCCCGCACTCTGGAAGGCTCTACCCTCTGAGCTAAAACTACTAAACAACAGTCAACTTCTTAAAAAAGGACTCAAACTATGGTTAAATTTTCACCAACCAGGCTCACACAAAATGTTTTGAACCAGCTGAATGTTTTATCAAGTACCATTGGCTTTGTGTCTAAGTTAAGTTTTCAAACAGGATTCTGTTGTATTTTCATTGATATGTTGACTGAGGGTTTTCGTTTGCTTTTGTTTTTTGAAGTGCTGATATGGGCAAGTGCTGTGAATTAGCACTAGTGCAATAAACACTTAAATCGATGCCTCTGGTTTGTCCAGTGTCGTTTCTTTGTCCATCCAATAAATGAGAAGTAAATTTCATTTTATGACTCAAGCCTTACATTTCATTCTTGTTTTTTATATGTAGAAATTTCTGTGATGAAGAAAAACAAACACAGAAATAACATTTATGAAATCACATCTTTGAATGCAGGATGGGAACTAAAACATTCTTGGTTGAAATGAGTGATCACATATAACTGGTTCACACGGCGGGATAATCACGTCAATTTTTGACCCGCTCTACCATAACGGCTCTAAGATGATCTTAACAGACAGTCTTGCTGTGTGTGGTGTGTTAAACACACTCTGGTTTGCTTGGAAGCATGTGGGGACCACAGCAATAATTATTTGGGGATATTAAACATGGGCAAACAAGTGTGCTGCTTATTGACTGTGAGGTGTGTCCAATCAGAACACTTGGCTCCTCCTCCAGCACATCTCTTTACTTCTAAGTCACGTTACATCGTGCAAGTCCAGGTGATGTTTGTGTGTAGTTTTTGCTGTGTGGCTGCATACCACACACGATAGGACTAAAGCTATATCTGTGACCTTTGATCACCACATGTGGGGGTCTCCTGGCAGTTCTAATTCCTGCCATGTGAACTGGGCATGAGAAACGTACATAGTTTCACATTCAACAGCAACAAGTGTTCATCAAAATTTATCTGAGGTATATTTTTATTTTTATGGACAAATAGGAAAAGTTCTCCTGCAGCCAGCCTTCCAGGAGCTGCTCAGGTCCTTGGCCTCTGGTTATCTGGTTACATTCTTGGTGTTTGTTCAAAGGCATGTTGGTCGTCTAGGACTGAAACACAAATGATGAAACCAATTCATATAAACAGATATTTTAAGTCTAATGTTCACAAGAAAATGAAACACTGACCTTTCTGAATCCTCCAGATCATGCCGACACTGAGGGAGGACTCTGGCTTCTTCTCCTGCCACGCAATCAACTCCTTTGGTGAAGACAGAGGAATCATACAGCTCACAGTCCAAGGTGAAACAGCTGAATGTGAATCATGATTTAACCCTAGTTATTTTTCAGTTTTAGATAATGCTCATTGTTGATGTAGTTCAGGAACGTTGAATTCAAAGTTCAGTGGACCATTTGGTCTCCTCTAGAACCACCAGATCCTCCAGAGGTGGAGATCAGAGAGGTGAAGGACCGAACCATCGCCCTGCGATGGACCATGGGTTTTGACGGCAACAGCCCCACCACAGGCTTTGATATAGAGAGCAAAAACAAATCAGGTGAGAGAAACTCCTTTAGCTCAGTGAGGTCGCTGTGTGATTGAAACATAGCTACTGCATCTGAGACACTATTAGTTGTACTTTCAGTAGTAACCCTGCCAAGCCATGGTTTTCCCACACAGCCTCCTGGGACACAGCTCAGAAGACCAAAGATGTTTCCCCTCAGCTCAACCAGGCCACCATCATCGACCTTCACCCCTCCTCCACATACAACATCCGAATGTTTGCCAAGAACCACATCGGCAAGAGTGAGGCGAGCAACGAGCTCACCATCACCACCGACGAAGCAGGTGTGTGTGTGTGTGTGTGTGTGTGTGTGTGTGTGTGTGTGTTTGTGCAACTGAACACACGTTGACTCCTTTTGTCTACCGTGTCCTGCCCGGCTGTAAACCAACCAGAATGGATGTCTGAATGCCAAAGACAAGCCTTGCAGTTTTATTCTCACAGGTGAAGCATTCCAGTTTCTGCTATAGTGCCACTCCTCATATCAAAACTTTATTACAAATATTTTCAGTTGTTTAGAACACCAACAGACACGGAGACAGAAGTGTACGAGAAAGGGGGAGAGAAAAGGAATCATGTGGGAGGGGGTTTCACAAAAATAAACAATGAATGCTGAACAAGAATCTGCTTCTAGACCTGCAGAAAGGGGGGGGGAGAGAGAGAGAGAGAGAGAGAGAGAGAGAGAGAGAGAGAGAGAGAAGGGGACACACAAAAATACAAGACCAAAACACCACTGCACCAACAACATGAGGATATATAAAAGTAACTATTTTGCTGAGAAACACACAGAAATAATTCACAGTGTGTTTAGTGCCAACCACAGCCACCACAAAGGTGATGAGTCCATACTTTTGAGAGCACCATGTAAGCACCTGTGTGCGTACATACGCTTGTATATGTAAGGTTTCTCTATAGGAGATTCCAATAGAGAAGGTGAGGGGCCACAGATCTGCCCCCCAAAGATGTGTAGGAGATGGAGGGAGCTCCAAGTCCCGGAGATCCAAGGGTCCCCTTGGAGTGCAGGAACCCAGGGAGACAGCCGCTGGAGAAGCCCCAACCCCCCTCCTAAGAGGTGCAGAGGATTATCCCGTGGGTTGCAACCAGCAGCCACTAGAGCCCTGGGAGATAACAATGGCAAAAATTTCTGGACACCAGAGCTCACCACGTTTTGCTGGGGTAATGATGAACAGGTACCCCCGCACCCTCTGACTTACCCACACCCTGAGGCCCTTTGTGCATTTTTGTGTGGTGATGTGAAGGAACAGGAGGAGGAAAATGTCTGAGAATGGAGAAGAATGGCTGGGGGGCATAGAGCCTCCAGGGAGCCAGCTCCCCCACTGGCCCCAATAGTCACCCCATTCCTAAAATCCACCCAGGACATGGAGACCCCAGCCTATCTAGCCAGGTCCAAAGCAGCAGCAACGCAGAGCCCCACAGAGTCCGAGGCCACCTACCCAGCCCCACCCCAGCAGAGTATATCTCCATCCCCACATTTCACTTCCAAACTACGTAAGACCCAGGTAAAATCGGGTACTTCCCCTCCCGGACATCCCCCTCCTTCAAGATGGAACAGACGTGCTCTTGCCAGTGCAGGAGAAACCAAGGTCCACCCGAGGCCTTTGAGCCAGGGCCAGGCACTGCTGTATGCTCCCGCCCTCTTGCTGGCAGCATACAAGCCAGGACCTAACCCAAGGCCAGCTAAGATCCCCATCCAGGGAAGGCCACCCCACACCCCTCACCCAGACCCACCCAGGGGCGATACAGCTATATAAATATATATGCTATATATATAAATATATATGCTATATATATATATATATATATATATATATATATATATATATATATATATATATATATATATATTGCATATATATACACACACAGATAGCTGTCGTCATACAGCAGAGCAATGAGCCTTCACATGCGTGCGCACACACTCACGCACACACACACACACACACACACACACACACACACACACACACACACACACACACACACACACACACACACACACACACACACACACACACAGCCGCCTCTAACCCACTATGATGTTTGCCAATGAACTGACCCATTGTAGTTTTTTAGAATTTTCTAACTCACGTATGTCGATGATATGACCTCAGCTCCTGATGGACCACCTCAGGAAGTGCTGCTGGAAGCCCTCTCCTCCCAGAGCATCCGGGTCACATGGAGGGTAAGTCAGTGTACCAATCAGATTTGATGATGAACATTTGTTTAATGAATGAGAGGAAGGCTTTGTTTTCTCAGTAGGATTCTCCTTGGCGATGATGTAATATTGAGCATAGCAGAAGGATGTGAACTCTTTATCTTCTCGTTCATCCTCTGGACATCATGGGAAGACCCACTTTGAACTTGACTGAACATCACACATTCTCAGTCGCACCAGAGATGTGTTTTATGCTTAAAATTTACATTAAGGAATGTCTGACATGCCTTAAAGATTGGTGACGTTTATGTTGCTTTGGTATTGTGTGTGGCTTGGTGAAATGGGAAAACAAAGCGGGTCTGCATCCGGTGGGTATTCCTGGACAGATAAGTAAAACCTGACCTTGTGAGTAGGGATGGGTACCTTTGACATTTGAATCGATCCGGTACTAATCCCCGGTACCTACGAATCGATGCCGGTACTTAACGGTACCAATTTTTGATACATTTGAGTGTTTAATATTTTAATTCTCTTTTATAATTAGATATATATTTTTCTCAATTTATAACCATATTTGATAAATATCACGATAAATAACACACAACTGTTTGTATTTTAACATCGTCCTTGTGGTTTTATAAGCTGATAATTAAACTGAAGCAAACATCTTTACTGTGAACTAAATTTACTGTGTATCTTCATTCCTTTTACCGTCCTTTTTCAATTGATTTTTCCTACTGGGAAGTTAGAATTTCCGAGGAGAAAGCGAACGCACCATTAGCTGATAACAATGGTGGCATAGGAAGCTAACATATCAAGCTAACGTTATCTTAAACAGTTTAACTGCTGGAGCAGATTTAAACGATGATGCCTTACACTTAAATCGTTGTCACTGGTTTCATCTTCACCCAATCACCCGTCGCATTTAGTAAAGTGAAGCCAAACTTTAGAGCGCATTCATGTTCTTCTAGTTGGAATTTCAGAGTTCCGGGGAGAAAGCAAACGCACCATTAGCGAAACGGAAGCTAACAAATCAAGCTGACGTTATCTTAAACATTTTATTTACCTACCGGAGCAAATAAAGATGAGGATGTCTCACTTAGATCGTTGTCACTGGTTTCATCATCACCCAGTTACCCATCACATTTAGTGAAGTGGACCCAAGCTTTAGCGTTCGTTCTTTCTACCCATGCTGCTCTGTTTACAACTCGCTCGCAGCGACCGATGACATAACACTCTTGCGCATGCGCAGCTGTCTAGGCAAGTTCTCGTTGTGAAGGACGGGTACCGAAACGAGGCACCGTTTCAAATGAAGTGAATCGGTGCTCGGTCGGTACTGTGGAATTCGGTCGGTACCATAAAAAGTACAGAATTCGGTACCCATCCCTACTTGTGAGTGACGCCATCTGGCCAGCTAACTGGAAACTTTCCATCTTTGTCCTGACTATTGGATAACGAGTGCTTTTACAGCCTGCCTCATCGTTAGCACCTCAAAACAACGAGGGCAGCAGCGCAGAGAGCAGCCCATAGACATGATCCACTGGAGCAGAGAGAAAAGAAGCTCATGATTCTCAAAGACTGAACTGTTTCTGGTTCATCTTAGTAATGGTGAATGTACTTTGATGTGCCTAATTTATGAAGGAGCAGTTTTTTCATGTGTAGAGAGGTGGTGCAAGAATAATCAATCAATCAATCAATCAGTCAATACTTTATTAATCCCAGAGGGAAATTGGAGTTTCAGTACACACAATTCAGAGATCAGACATACATGGGCAAGACACATGACAAGAATTGGTGACTGTGGTCATTCGCAACCATGAGTTGCGCTACCTTAATAGAGATAAGAGGGTAACATAAGGGTTGGTTCAGGTGGAGGGAAAAAAAGGCACTTCAGAGTTACCCTCCACTAGGAGGGCAGCTTTGCTTTGCAAAGAACACCTCAACAGATATGCAACTGACTTCAGACAACACAACATGAGACTCCATTAGGGGGGGGGGGGGGGGGGATCCTTTCCTGTCCCCAGCCAGAGCAGCCATCTACAGTGCTCATCTACTGTACAGTCACCGCTTCCACATGGCTGCACACATTCTTCTTAGAAATGTGCTCATGGGATTTCAGATCAAACCCCGCCTCCTACACACCCACTTTCTGCCATAAATGGGCAATGAAAAGTACTTTATGAATACACTATACTGTATACATAGGCCTCTGATCTGTGGAGTAACCTTGGCAACCAAGAGGTCAGGAAACTGCAGTTTGAGACAGAAATGGAGGTTCTTGTGGGTGACAGAAGCCCCTGGTCTAGTTCAGACGCACGGATTGAGGAGTAGTTTATCGTTAGTTTTGCATCAGATTAGAAACAACCACCTGAGCCCTTACCTGCATCACTTAGTGCCTTTATAGTGCGTTTGGGTTTATTGTCTCACTGCTTCCAGGTTTTCCTGTTTTCCTTTGTGTGGACCATAAATCCCAGTAACATCAGGTCAGGCCTTTGACCCTAAGCCAGTCATGACCTGTTAGCTGGGCCATGGAGGGACATTAAATAGCTGGAAAGGAGAGATGACTGGGCCATGCATTTGTTTGATTCAATGAAGTTCTTCATGGGAGCTTAATGTGACCACATCAAACTAATGGATGAAGTCAAACTAGAATGCTGAGTTAAAGAGAATCAACCGTGTTTTAAACTTTGTCTGTCCCACCTCTGCACCAGCCTCCAAAGAAGCACCTTCAGAACGGGGCCATCAGAGGGTACCAGGTGGGCTACAGGGAGTACAGCTCTGGTGGGAACTACCAGTTCAGCGTGATCAGCGTGGAGACGACGGGGGACAATGCAGAAAGCCTGGTCCTGGACAACCTGAAGAAGTTCACCCAGTATGGAGTGGTGGTGCAGGCCAGCAACAGTGCAGGGACGGGGCCGTCCTCCACAGAAGTGGCTGATACCACGCTGGAGGATGGTGAGAGAAAAGTCTGCCAGCTTGTTCGTGGTGGAACGAGCGCCAAAGTTAAATGTAAAAACTATGCAGGAACAGGAAGGCTGAAGTAACATTTCCTCACGCGTTACTCCTAGTGCTCGAAAGAAAAGCTATTTGTTCTAGATCCTTTACAGCAGCAAAGCACCACAGGTGGCCTTGAAATAAAGTGTTTATGGGGCCATGGGACGTTCAGGGACCCACAATGATCAGCAAGTCATGTGATTTAACTGATATGTCAGTACAATGTTGAATGGAGCTTCATTTAGGTGACTCATCCCCTCTGCAGTTAGAGTGTAGAACTCCTCAGTTTAACTGGTACTGGCATTATCCTGGTACACAATACCACCAGTGCAATACTCAGTATGTGTTCAATTCCTGTGTAATACCAGAGTTACATAGTATGTCTGAGTCCCTTACAGTGTGCTGCGTAGTTCTGGAAACACAAGTCTGCTTTTGATCCGTGGTTTTCAGTGGTTGAAGGAAACAACAATAGCTTACTGCCTTTGTGTGTCTGCCTGTAATCGTGTTGTTGTTTTCTTACTGAGTGTTGGTGCTACTGCTGGGGAATATCCCCTCCGTGGGATTAGTACAATCTATTCTATTTAATACAGGAAATGGACATAAAAGGGCTTTCAGCAGTGGCATCAGAGACTTTAGTCAGGGTTTGCCACCATCTAGTGGACACTAAAACTACTGACACGACAGTGTGTCTGTCTTACGAGAGGCAGCTGTTTTCATAGCTGTCCTGGTTCTCCTCCATTAGTGCCAAGTCGTCCTCCAGAGAACGTCCAGGCTGTTGCTGCAACTCCAGAAATCATCTCGCTGTCCTGGCTGACGCCTTCTAAAGACGCTCTGAATGGAAACCTGCTGGGCTTCAGGGTCATCTACTGGGCCAACCTGCCTGATGGAGGTACACACTCACACCATGTCTGCTAAACAGAAAAAGGTTGTGTCTAAAAGCTACATGATGGCACTTTAACAGGAAAACTGTTGTCAGACATTGTTGCTACCCTGGTGGACTGCTGCTGGTCAGCTGCTGTCTCACTGTCTGAACGTGAGACAGCATGCATGGCTCTGTCGCACGCCTTGCTTGTGCTGGAGGGATTGCATATGACAGCATGATTACCTTTGCCCCCTGCCCTGTCACATCCCGTTGGCTTGCTTTAATGACATGAAAGCTCACGGCCTGACAGCCAGAGCAACTCTGCATAGTAACAGTGAGGCAGCGCTCCAAATAGTTCTGTTAAATACAAAAACAGTTCTCACAGGCAAGAAGTGGCTTTGACCTGTTAATGGTTGGAAAAAACATGAATCTGTCCAAGACCGGTGCAGCCCTGCAGAACAGATAACACAACCTCAGGAATCAGGGGCCTCATTTATCAAGCTTGCTTACGCACAAAACGGGGTCGGAAAACTGCGTAAGCAAGTTTCCATGCAAACTTTGGGATTTATGAATGAAAACTTAGCAGAAACATGTGCACAACTTTAAGTTGACTAAGGGCCTGGCTTACACACATGTTGGACATGGAGAGCACCTGCAGTGCTGCTGCTGAGAAGATACAATTATGAATCCCAGCAGCATTACCACTGTTGCTGCTTCGTTTTCACACAGAACAAGACCCCCCCCACCCCCACCCCCCACCCCCACACACACACACACACACAGGCTGAAGCGCAGAATACAGAATGCAGGATATCAGCGGGGGACAGATTGAGACAGAATGCGTCTGTGACAGTGTGTGTCCGGTCACTGTGACCCGATTGATCATACGCCCTGGCTACTTGAACAAGGGAGATCTCCATTTGGATGACTGGTCAGCGTGCATGATTTCACCTGGGAGTCTGGGGATCGAATCCTGATCAGATTTTTTTTTTATATCCGCCACAGATCTCTCTGAAGAACTCAGCATTGACGGCATCAGCAACGCTGTGTCACTCTGTGGATTTTCTCTTATTTGTTTTGCAAAAGCACTTCCTTTCATTTCTCCACCTCACCCACAAGTACCTCAATTCCTGCTTCAGTGAAATAACGCTTCCCTGATCTGCCTTGATCTATGGTCGTCATTGGCGGAGCGCTGCAGCAGCCAGCTTATGTATATGCATGAGATCCACAAGGCACTTTGCATTGACTATTTATGGCAGTAAGTGGGCGTGGTGAGGGCGGGATGTGACTAAAAAGCAGCTGAGAAAAATTTTCGTTAGTCTCCAATTTATGAAGCGGAGGTTGCGTGCAGCTGTGCGTACTCCATGTTTGATAGATCACAAACCTACTTGGCATAAGTACATTTATTTTGCTGAGCTTAAGTACAGTTTTAGGAAGGATTCTACGCAATGTTTGATAAATGAGACCCCTGCAGAAGAAAACCTGGTGCAGCTACCCCTAACCCCAACCACAACCCATCAGTACTCAAGCTAGTCACAGTCACCGTTTGACCAATCAGCAAGCGGCTATGACGCACCAAACACTGGTGTGTCTGAAAAACCAGAAAACAACTGTGTGTCTCCCTGTGTTGTCTGTCGGACCTTAAACTAACAATGCTAAGTTCATTCTCACATCACCAGGTCGACTAGTTGTGCTAAATAAGGATACATGTGTTTGGTTAGTTTTATATATATGTATATATTAGGTACACGTTGAATTCAGTGAAGTCGATGAAATCCTAGCATGAAAATCAAATCTGCCACATTTGAACATGCACCCTGAACAAGAAATTATGAATATTTTTAGATAAAATCTGTTGTTTTTTAAGACATAATCTTAATATTCGTGGTAACAGTAATAATTATTATTATGATATTGAATATATTTTGCCGTTTTAAACTTCGATTTCTCTGGAAAATGGAGGAGTCCAGCTAATCCTGGCACCAGTGATGATGATGAACAGGAGGAAGAAGACACTAAGGCAGATCCTCAAATCTAAAATATTCTAATAATCTATATTTGTTCAGAATTGGTATCTATTGTCCAACAACTTTCATAAAGATTCTACAGTAATCTGTTTTAGAAAAATAGACTATCTAATTGTGATTCATACGGTATCATTCTACAGTGATATAATGTTATGGGGCTGCATGGTGGCGCAGTGGTTAGCACTGTTGCCTCGCAGCAAGAAGGTTGCAGGTTCGAAACTCGGCTGCGGCCTTTCTGCGTGGAGTTGCGTGTTCTCCCCATGCGTGGGTTTCCTCCGGGTACTCCGGTTTCCCCCACAGATCACAGCATGCCCTATAGGTTATAAATTGTAAGTCGCTTTGGCTAAAAAAGCGTCTGCTAAATGAATAAACATAAACATATATAAATAACTAAGTAAGCCTAAAGTGTACATATTATTAAAAATAATATTTAACATCTTCATGTTTTTTATTATGGGATTTCTTTCACCAGAACAGGGCCACCGTCCATATTTGATAACATCCTTTCTTTGAGTTTCTGCATTAAAATAAATATTTTAAAAATTGTAACAACAGAAGCACACTTTTGAAACATAACACCCTGGGGGGTCCTATTGAGGGTTAAATGCTGTCTGTGGTCCTAGCTGTACCTAGCCTGGCAAGCCAGACTAAATAAATGTATTATTTAGTCTGGCCACGCTCCATTGACGACTCTCGGTTGTGGGGCGGGTTCTACCGTTGTCTTTCAAATGATCTCCGCATTCCACTGGACAAAGAATGTGACATACTCTTGTTTCACTCTGTTGCATCATCCCGCCCACCAGGCATATAGAGTGCCCTGATTGGCCCACAAAGCGGATAAAACTCTGTGATTTGTTCACTAAGCAGATAGAGCACTATGATTGGCCCACCATTATGGACCAATCACAGCTCTTTATGTGTTTGAAACCCCTCTAGAGAGCTGTGATTGGCTAGCAAGAGTCCTGGTAGGAGCTGCGGAGGTTCCAATGGAGCGTGCCTAGACCAAACTTTGCAAAGCAAGAATTTGGTCTAGTTCACTAGACTAAGCTGTACCCAGACTGGGCCCTCCGACCTCAGGCTAACCATCCTTCGTACCAAACCCACTGAGTCGGCGGCCAGATTAGAGGAAAAAAGACGTTTTTTGTTTTATTTTTAATTCCTACACTAACAGGACTCCTGACTGAACTCAGGTCTCCAGCTTCACCCAGGACAGCAAACTGTTAAGTAACTGTGAAGGCTCTGGGCAGATTAGACTCCCCCTGACAACACATAGTCTGAAATCTGATTGGACAAAACATGTAGGCAGTGCTGCCAAGAGGAGCGTTACGTTCTCATCCACTAGATGGCAGCGTGGTGCTGTGTGATCACTAGGAGAGGTGGAGAAGAAGAGCAGTAGAGAAATGATGGTTGGATTGTGATCTTCACTTCTGTAAATAAAGTCCTCATAGATGAAGTACCTGCTTCCCCAACTACAAGACTGGAAGTAAACGAGTCCAGTTTCATCTAAGTCCTGATCATGGTTAGGCTGGCAGAGAGGCCCTCCACTGCTGCTGGGATCTGGTGAAGCATCAGATGTATATTACTGATTGTTTCTCTGTCCATCAGAACTTGGTGAGATTAGGAATGTGACGACCTCTAAACCCTCTCTGGAGCTGGATGGGCTGGAAAAATACACCAACTACAGCATTCAGGTGCTGGCCTTCACCAGAGCTGGAGATGGCGTTCGCAGTGAACAAATCTACACCCGCACTAAGGAGGACGGTAGGAAGGAAACAAGACAAGACACAATTCTGCATCTGCTTCCCTAAAGCAACACATGTGGAAGTTTGACAGATGAATGAGGATGAATACTGTAGATAGCAGGAGAATGTCAGACATGTAGCAGCTAAATCAGCTTGTGCTTTCAGTTCCCGGTCCTCCGGCTGGCGTGAAAGCAGCTGCTGCTTCCAACTCGGTGGTGTTTGTGTCCTGGCTTCCTCCTCTCAAAGTCAATGGCATCATCAGGAAATACACAGTTTTCTGCTCCAACCCACACCCTACGGTAGAACACACTCGGCAACTACACGCTGACAGCTGCTGTTATTTCAATGACCAGAATAAGTAGCTTAAATGAAAAGTCATGTTTGAACACTGAGTTTCAGTGGAAATCTGCAGCAGCTTGTTGTGACTGACCTTAAGTGAATGGTGTGATCTGCAGCAGGTTAAGAATGTTCCTTATGTCCCTTTCTGTAGGTGAGTAGTGAATTTGAGGCGGCACCAGATGTCTTCTTCTACCGTATCCCCAACCTGAACAGGAACCGTCAGTACAGCATCTGGGTGGTGGCCGTAACGGCTGCGGGCCGAGGAAACGCCAGCGAGATCATCACAGTCAAACCCATGGCTGAAGGTAGGCTCAGGGACATTTGGCGGGGCAATTAGTCAAAATATTATTCTGGTTTTAGATTTGGATCTCATCAAAATGTATTGTTTTATTAAAACTTTCCAAATCTTTGTCACATTCCACTTGCAGGCATGCTCCTATTGTGACAAAATAATGTGCACTTCCTTTCTGTCACACTCACAAATGGCAATGGCTTGAAATGTTATGTGGAAGAATAAGAGACTTGTTATTGTTGCTCTTGTGGACATTACTGTTCTGCATCTCACCCGTCCCATCGAAGCAGTGAGGAAAGCAATCAGGGTTCAGCTTGTTGCCAAGGATACTCATGTCCGGCCGGAGATTGGGCTCAAACCGTTCGCCCTTGGTGGACAGCCTCCTCTAAAACTAAAACTCAGTCTAAAGACCAAAATAATCTCGATTATATTTTTGCATAGATGAGCAGCACTGAAGACGTTTTCACAGCACTGAGGCTCCGAGTTAAATGTGACTAAAGCAGATGGTAGCAGGGCTGGACGATATAGAAAAAAGATTATCGACACAAACAATCTTATTGAACATCATTAATTATTGAAAACCATATGAAAAATGTGAAAAATCCATTTTAAGTGCAGCCCTAGCCATGATAAAACAAGTTGGTTTCATCAGCATACTTGTTTTTATCGATTCTCTGTTGCAAACCACCGTTTTATTCTTTGGTCCGACTTGTGAGAATGAAAATATGGCCACACTGGTGAAGTACTGGAACCTGTTTAGGCTTGAGAGGGGAGGGCTTGGGCATATGTTTTTGATTGGTTGGGTGTCAGTGATGACTCTAGTATGAAGCTACCCAATAGGCTATATTGGAAAAAGGAAACTTTTATTGATCCATTTTTCCTATTGAACCACATGTCTATTGAAGTATTGTCCAGTCCTAGATGGTAGTCAACTCATTCTCTCATCGCTGCTCAGAGACAAGTGCACCTTAACGCAGACAGCTGTAATGTTAGAAAACACAATGACAGTAGCATCTCAAAAATGTTTCTGGAAGTCACCTCTGGCCCTAAAGCATATGGTCCTGGAGGGCCGGTATACATCAGGTTTTAGTGGTTTCTCTAGTCCAACACACTAGATTCAGTGGGTTAGTCACCTGTGCAGCAGCTCATCGGGCTCTGCAGAAACCTGTTAATCACCTGCTGACTGAAATCAGGTGTGTAGAAACAGGGTTAAAACTAAAACGTGCTGGATACCGGCCCTTCAGGCCCGGACTTGAATACCCCTGCCCTAAAGTCTTTGCTGTGTGTCTTCACATTGGCAGCGCCAGCTCGAATCCTGACTTTTAACAGGACAGTAACAACTCCCTGGATGAGGGACATTGTGCTCCCCTGCAAGGCTGTTGGTGATCCATCCCCAACCATCAAGTGGCTAAAGGAGATGTGAGTCATTCATAGATGCACCATGAAGAAATCATTCGTAGATGTTGAAAATATGGTCAGATGACCTTCTCTAAAATTAACCATTAACACTTCTGCATTGCAGCAATGGAACTCCTGCACCAGTTGTGATTGACAGTCGACGCAGTATCCATGGAAACGGCAGCCTTGTTATTCGCACAGTAAAAGCCGAGGATTCTGGGAACTACACTTGTGTGGCCAGTAACAGCTTTGGTTCAGACAAGATTGTCCTTAACCTACAAGTCCAAGGTGAGCATGAGCTGTGTGGGACACACAAACTCTCTAGCACCAGTACGGTCGTAGATCATGTCAGGAGTGTTGTTCATAAGTTTATGTGATCTCCTCCAGTTCCACCTGACCAACCTCGCCTCACCGTGACAAAGACAACCATAACCTCAATCACGCTCTCCTGGATCCCTGGAGACAATGGAGGCAGCTCCATACGAGGTCAGGCCAAGTTCAGAGGTCCTCTTTAACAGAAGCCAGGTCAGGGTTAGGTGACAGATGCCTCTCTACTGTCTCCAGGCTACATTCTGCAGTACTCTGAGGATAACAGTGAGCAGTGGGGTAATTTTGCCATCAGTCCCAGTGAGCGCTCCTACCGACTTGAGAACCTCAAGTGTGGTACGTGGTACAAGTTCACCCTCACCGCCCAGAATGGAGTGGGTCCTGGACGCATCAGTGAGATCATTGAGGCAAAGACTCATGGCAAAGGTAAACAGTCTTCCTCTGGAATGATGGCATACAATGACAATAATTGAGCAACAACAAAGACCATTTGAGGTTGAAAGTCTCCGTCCCTGAATGTAATTCTCAAAGGGTTAGGGTTCTCCTGTCTGGGGGTCACGAAGACCATCAATGTCCTGATTTGCAAATAGACCTGGCATGTTTTAACGCTTAGTGAAAGCTAGCGATGGGTACCGAATTCTGTATTTTTTAAGGTACCGACCGAATTCCATAGTACCGACTGAGCACCGATTCACGTCATTTGAAACGGTGCCTCGTTTTGGTACCCGTCCTTCATAACAAGAACTTGCCTAGACAGCTGCGCATGCACAAGAGCATTATGTCGTCGGTCGCTGCGAGCCAGTTGTAAACAGAGCAGCATGGTAGAAAGAACGCACGCTAAAGCTTGGGTCCACTTCACTAAATGTGATGGGTAACTGGGTGATGATGAAACCAGCGACAACGATCTAAGTGAGACATCCTCATCTTAATCTGCTCCGGTAGGTAAATAAAATGTTTAAGATAACTTTAACTTGATTTGTTAGCTTCCGTTTCGCTAATGGTGGGTTCGCTTTCTCCTCGGAAGTCCGAATTTCCAACTGGAAGAACATGAACACGCTCTAAAGTTTGGCTTCACTTTACTAAATACGACGAGTGATTGGGTGAAGATGAAACCAGCGACAACAATCTAAGTCATCATTTTAATCTGCTCCATTAGCTAAATAAACTGTTTAAGATAATATTAGCTTGATAAATTAGCTTCCATTGCCACCATTGTTATCAGCTAATGGTGCGTTCGCTTTCTCCTCGGAAATTCTAACTTCCCAGTAGGAAAAATCAAATGAAAAAGGACGGCAAAAGGAATGAAGATACACAGTAAATTTAGTTCACAGTAAAGATGTTTGCTTCAGTTTAATTATCAGCTTATAAAACTACAAGGACAATGTTAAAATACAAACAGCTGTATGTTATTTATTGTGATATTTATCAAATATGGTTATATATTGAAAAATATATATATTTTTATTATAAAGGAGAATTCAAATTTTAAACACTCCAAAATATTTAAAATTGGTACCGTTAAGTACCGGTATCGATTCCTCGGTACCAGGAATTAGTACCGAATCGATTCAAATGTCAAAGGTACCCATCCCTAGTGAAAGCAAAGTCATTTCAAACTATCGATATCAGTAACTGTCATCTTTATGAGTATGATTAAACACACCTGAGCAAAGTTGAACTGGTTTCGATGATCTTTTACCAGAGCCTCAGTACTCCAAAGAACAAGAGCTCTTCACAACCATCAATGCCACTCGGGTCAAGCTCAATCTGAATGGCTGGAATAACGGTGGCTGTCCCATCACTTCTTTCACCCTGGAGTACCGATCTGTCGACTCGCCCACTTGGACCACTGCTCAGCGCACCTCCCTCACTAAGAGCTACATCCTGTACGACCTGCAGGAGGCCACCTGGTACGAGCTGCAGATGAAGGTGTACAACAGTGCTGGCTATGCTGAGAAGAGGCTCAAGTTTGCAACACTTAGCTATGATGGCAGTGAGTGGTCACCTGTTTTTCTCTGTACATTACATGAAGAGGAATGTCTTCATCGTTTCTCTGATCAACATTCACCGTTGTTCATGTTTGGATGCTTTTTGTGACACCTACCTTAACAATCTATCAATACATGAGTCAAATAAAGTCACCCTCTAGATTTAAAGACACAAACGTTAGCTCCTCACAAACATATCTATAAGAACACTCATGACCTCTGTTCAGGTACCATCGCTCCTTTGGTGAAAGCACCCAATGTGAGTGAGAACAATTCTCGAGGTGGCGAAGGTTTGAAGATGATGGTAACCATTTCCTGTGTGCTGGTGGGTATCGTTGTCATCTTCATTGGACTGCTGGTGCTGAGGCGGAGGAGGAGAGAACAAAGGCTCAAGAGGCTGAGAGGTACGATGAAGAGAATTCAGGGCTCATGTTTACCTTTCGGTTGGGTGCATCAAGTCTGACTTTCCTACCACATCGACACTGAACAGCCCAAATCACAATTTGACCCAGTTCAGTTTCAGATGTGGAACTGAATCTGATACATATCTGATGTTTTTGAATGTGACTTCAATCTGAATGAAATCTGTCGTTTTACGTCACTGTCCCAGTGGAGGTGAGTAACATTATTTGGCAGAGGTACTCAGAGGTCTGTTTGGTTGTTCTTAAGATGTGGATGAACGGCCAGTGAAGCTCTTCACATCACAACTGCACCTCAACCACTTACCTCAGAACGGAGGGAGCAGACACAGCTCCCCAAAAGGCCATAGTTAAACTATGGCCTCGTTTCTCTCAGTGTCCTGATTTCTCTAATAGATGTGTCAGTTTAGTTGGGTTCCGGTTGTGCAGGAGTTAGGGTCAGGGTAAAAACTTCTGTAGTCATCATTTTTACTTCCGTAAATCATAAAGTGGTCTGTGATATCTTTTTCTGCACCTGCAAGCTGCTTTAGGGCCATTTGGTCTAGCGCATTTATTTCAGTTACAGTGGGAAAGACCACACAAAACCACCCGTTTCATTTAAAATCTGAATGAATCATTAGGACCTGCAGCTTTAGTCTCACATTTAAAAATCTGTTTTGTTTTTCAGATGCAAAAAGCTTGGCTGAGATGCTGATGAGGTAAATGTTCATCGTCCTCTCTAAGGTAGAAGCAGTCGTCTGAAACAATATCAGGACAAACGATGTGGACTGTCTCGTTTTCTGTGTCTCAGTAAGAACACACGACCAGCAGAACCCATCAACAAACAGCAACAGACGCTGCGCATGCACATCGACATCCCCAGAGCCCAGCTGCTTATTGAGGAGAGAGACACAGTGGAGACTGTTGGTAAGCACCAGCACCCTACCCTACCTGTCCAGAACCAGAACCTGAGGGACTGGGTATGGTATTCATTTTGTTACTGCCCCACAGATGACAGGTCCACTGTGTTACTGACTGACAACGACTTTGGAGAAACACAGAAACAGAAGTCCTCTACAGTCACCCACACTGTCCACTACCAGTCCCTGTCCCAAGCCACTGGGCCCCTCGTAGATGTGTCAGATGCCAGACCAGGAACCAGTAAGTCCAGTATGGACTCATTTTTAACTTTATTGCATCTGAAGCCTCTAATTTTGTCATACTGTGTGTGTGTGTGTGTGTGTGTGTGTGTGTGTGTGTGTGTGTGTGTGTGTGTGTGTGTGTGTGTGTGTGTGTGTGTGTGTGTGTGTGTGTGTGTGTGAAACTACCTACAAGTGAAACTGTAAAAATGAGGATCTGTTGCAAAAGTCCATGGACCTCATTCGTCAACTGTACTTACGCACAGATCTGTGCATAGCGCGCAAATTCACCCATTGTGTGGTGTTTTTGAGGGACTGACCTAAAGTGAAATACTTTGAGGGCCAGAAATGGATTTTAACAACTCAGTAATCTGTTCTTGGCCGACATAGAAAGCACATCAACGAACTGATTTGACTCCAGTTTAGCTCCATTAGAAGGACTCTGTAGCTGCTGTAGTGTTTATCTCTCCTCCCCGACACACTGACCCACAGCATGGTCCAGATGCTCTCCATCAATCATTCAATCAATTTTATTTGTAGAGCACCTTCCGCAACGTTATCAGAAACCCAAGGTGCTGAACAGCATCATAAAAACATTCCCAGTACCTGGGCATAAGAGCAAGATAAAAACATAAAATCATAAAATAGCAAGCAAGCAATATTACAAATACAGAGAGGTAACGGAATGAGACTAATCAATTAAAAACAAATGGTGGACAAAATAAGATCAAGCATCCTGATCAAAAAGAAGAAGTATTAAAAACCATAATGTCAGGGCAATTCAATGAACCCTAGCGCTGAAAAGCAATCAAATAGAAATGAGTCTTTAGACAAGACTTAAAGACTTCAATTGACGGTGCCTGCCTAATGGTCAATGGCAATTCATTCCACAGAGTTGGAGCCAAAATAGAAAATGCACTATAACCCCTCGATTGATATTTCGACCGGGGGACCACCAGACGTCCCTGCTCGGCTGAGCGAAGAGACCGAGAAGGAACATACTTGTGCAAAAGTGCAGTAATGTAAGAGGGGGTACTGCCCTGGATGGCCTTATAAACAAGAGTTAAGATCTTAAATGTAGCTCGATATTGCACCGGGAGCCAGTGCATAGCGTCAGCACTGGAGTGATGTGATCTCGGCATCTAGTACCTGTCAAGAACCTAGACACTGAGTTCTGTACAAAATGGAGCCGTGCAACTGTGCACTAGCCCATACCGGCATACAGAGCGTTACAGTAGTCCAGACGGGACAGGACGAAAGCATGCAACACAGACTCCAGATGAGCTCTGGACAGCAAAGGCCTGATCCTGGATAGTCGTTTCAGATTAAAAGAACAGGATTTTTATCACCAAATTACTGACTATTTTCTTTTCATAGGGGGCAATGGGCCAAGGTCAATATAGTACCTGAGCCATTTCTTCTGCCAGGACTAAGTATTATGACTTCCGTTTTGCTCTCATTTAGGTGCAAAAAATTAGAAGCCATCCAGCATTTTATGTCCTTCAAACAGTCCAGTAAAGGAGAAACAGATGTATCCTCCCCACGTCGAAGGGGGAGATAGATCTGGCAGTCATCAGCAAAAAAATTAAATTTCACATTATGCCGACGAAGGACTCCAAGAGGAAGCAAGTAGGAGGCTCTTGAATGTGTTTTATCAGGGGATTATGGCCAGTGTGTTGTTTTATGCTGTGTTGTGTTGGGGCAGGAGCCTCACTGCTGAGGACAAAAACAGGATCAACAAAATGATCAAGAAATCTGGCTCAGTGGTTGGGCAAGGCTTGGACTCATTTGACATGATCATCAACAGAAGGATGAAGAGTAAACTTAAGACAGTTGTGACTCTGGAGGTTTCACCCCCTTCACCAGATTTTTAAGGATCTCGGGAGCTCTTTCAGTGGGCGAATGTTAATGCCCCGGTGCTCCACTGAACATTTTAGGAACTCTTTTTTTCCAGCTGCAGTGCGTTTTTACAATGAGCATTTCGTATGATTGTATATTTGATATTTTTATCATGATTGTGGCTTATAGCAGTGACCAGTGAATGTTTTATTGTGTGGATGTGCATGTTGTTTTTACTTGTCCAAGGCAATTCAATTTCCCCCTTGGGGATTAATAAAGACAACCTTGAACCTTGAAATACACTGCAAATAGGAGAGGACCAAGGACAGAGCCCTGTGGCACGCCCCAGCGAAGTCTCACGCAGGGTGACGTCACCTCACCCATCTGAACACTAAATGTCCTGTCATGAAGGCAGGAGCGAAGCCATTGGAGGGCCTGCCCAGTTATCCCCACCCAATGCTGTAGTCGGTCCAGACGGACTTATTAAGGAGTTATTAACTCGTTCCCACGCATTAATAACTGATGGCCATGCACTAATAACTCATGGTCACAAATTGGATTCTATTGTTTTCCAAGATAACTCAAAGTGTATTTGTGCCACTCCAAGAAGCAGTTTCTGTCCACTTAGCAGAGGAGCTTAAGGCCTGGCTTCTCTGTGGAAGAAAACCACTAAGGGAGGAACACCTGGACTGGTTTTCTCCATGGCTAGAACCTGCTTGTTTCTGACAAACCTTTTAGTCCCTCTCCTGTGTTACAAGCATCACAGAAGGGGTGGGGCTTTGCCTCTCTCCTGGAGACGGAGAAATAACACAGCTTCTTCTGTGCCAGTGACTAGAAGGATGGGAGATCCTTCACATCATCATCAAAACCCTCACTGTGGCATCAGACTCCAGCTGCGAGTCTCAATCTCCTGTCTTCCTGCTAAAAAACAGAGGAGCTTCTGGGCATCATCGTTCTCAACTACATATGAAGAATACTCTTTTTGTCGCAGATCACTCCAATGTCTAAAGTTAAAGTCAATGTCCATATACAGCGTACTGCGCTCCATGACAGACTGTCTAAACCCGGATTTTCTTTAGTTTAGTACAACTCCGCACATGTCTGTGTTCCCCTTGGGCCCCCAAATTGCTAAATCCGCCCCTGTATATTTGCCTTGTACCACATAATTTTTAATCTGAAGCTACATATGAAGCATATTCAGGGCAGAATATTGTTCCTGTTAGTGTTTAGTGTGAGATTAAATATTCCCTTTCTTTCTCCAACAACTTTACCTGATATTAAGCTAACTTTAGGCAAACCAGCAGCACAACAAATATTTTCAAAGAAGACTCACAAACCTGAGTCAACACCAGCCTCATCAAAGCTGGGGTTCTGTCGTTGTACTTTTTGTCTAAAAAACATCCTTATGTCCATATTCACTCATGCGTTTCAGGCAGAGACTGTAGAAGAAGCCGGCTGCTGAAGGGCTTCTTCTTCAGTGGTGGAGGCTCAGGCAGGCTGTATACAAACTACTGCAGCTGCTCCCTCTCTGTTGGACTTTGGTACTGCATGTTACTTCCACATTTGAGATCCGGGGCTTTTCATAAAACATTCGGGGCTTGAGCCCAAGTAGCCGGGCCTAACGCCGCCCCTGGTAGAAGCCGTAAATAGTTGCAGTCGTATCCACTGTCGCTTCCTAAACATCCTCAGCATTTTGCATTGAGGGCAGCCATTTTCAATAGTTGCAGTCATCCTAAAGCAGCTCCAGTGTCCTAAAGTTTACAGCAATTCATGCTACCTCTACAACACCATCAACCGGTGATATAATATTTCACCAGAAATATTAGGAAACACAAGGTGCTACACTTGTGGGTGTGTGTGTGTTTGTGTTTCTATATATATACATATATATATATATATATATATATATATATATATATATATATATATATATATATATATATATATATATATATATATACACACAAACACACACGCACATAATTCCTAGTGAATACCAGAACTATTAGTAAATTTAGATAACTGTTAACACATATCTATGTTAAGTCTCTTTCATTATACAATACATTTCAAGATGACTGGTATTAATGAGACATATAGGTGTACGCAGTTGGTAGCTGTTGCCTCACAGTGGGAAGGTTGTAGGTTAGATTTCCAGCTTCTGAACTGTTCATGTTCTTGTTAGATCCCACAGCCCGCCGCACAGCCAAAGCTGGACCAGCCGCTCGTAACCGCTACGCCAGCCAGTGGACTCTGAACCGCCCCCACCCCCCGGTCTCCTCCCACACTCTCAGCACTGACTGGAGGCTGCCCACGCCAAGGGTTGCAGGTTCTGTTGATAAGGAGAGTGACAGCTACAGCGTCAGCCCCTCTCAGGACACAGGTAAACCATAACCTGCTATGTTTTGAACGGATCCACATCTGCTTCCTTGCCTTTAACCAAATGTCTGCTACTAATCCCTCCACTAACTCCACATCATGTCCAGACCGAGCACGGAGCAGCATGGTCTCAACAGAGAGTGCCTCCTCCACCTACGAGGAGCTCGCCAGGGCCTATGAGCATGCCAAGATGGAGGAGCAGCTCCGCCATGCCAAGTTCACCATCACAGAGTGCTTCATCTCTGACACTTCCTCTGAGCAGATGACAGCCGGCACCAATGACTACACCGACAGCCTGACCTCCAGCACGCCGTCTGAATCAGGCATCTGCCGCTTCACTGCTTCTCCACCCAAGCCTCAGGACGTCAGCAGGGTCATGAACATGGCCGTGCCCAAAGCCCACAGACCGGGTGAGGTCAAGCTTTCTGGTTTGGATCCATTTTGGTGTTAATCACTAACCCTTATCAGCATCAACTAATAATATGTGAATGTGGCCCGTAACCCTAAGAACCAACACAGGCTGAAATATTTTAGACATTTCCTACATGTGAAGCTTACGTGTGACCCAGCAGCTGATTTACTCGCAGTGCAGCGGTGTGTTTCTGCTGACTTTAATCCTGACAGTGGAGAGGAACTACTTCCTATATGACATCAAACAGCGATATCATATGTGATCTCCTTCTTTTTGGTTTAATGGTGGGTCGCATAAACAAACCGTGACCTTTCAAGTCTTGAGTGACCTTGTGATCATACAAGTCCAGCAAGGAGCACAGCGAGAAAGCCGTTCTACGGCCGAGACTCTCCCGGTGTGTAAGGTGTGTAATGGACCGCGTTGAAGCCAGTGAGTAGAACACTCCAATGCCGTTGCCGGGGCTGACATGCCTAGCGCTGCAGTCTGCTTCCAGCACGTTTTCTGCGTGTTTTACATCATGAACACAGCTGATTTGTTTGGTTTAGTGATGAAAGGATGGACACTTCTAGATGCTAATAAAGGCTGGGGAGACATTTCAGCTGTCAGACTAAGCTGTTAAAAAGACAAATGCACAGGGAGGGTCTCCAAAAGTTTTGCTTTTGGTTCTACTAAATGGCCACTAAAAGCAAGTAATACTGCAAAAGGTGCCTTTAGATGAACTTGCAGCTTTACTCAATTGCTCAATGAGTGCCTGAAGCCAGAAACTCTGAACAGTCATGTTCAGTGACAGAGAAGTCCAAACCGTTTATGTTTGATGTGGAACGTTAGCAGTAGCTCGGGAGTGTTGTTTTGCAGTGGGCACAAAAATGTGATTCATCACTGCTACCAATTTTATAGATTGCCACTGAAGTGGGTTGGGACCAAAGGACAAACCCTCCGGGCCTTCACATGTAGGCATTAGAAGTGCTGAATTGAAGCCCAGTGGGCGGTTTCTACCAACGCCATCTTGGCTGCATAATGCCTCTCGTCACTCCCAGAAAATCCAAAACTGGAGCTGTGAGCAGAGGATTGACAGCCATCAAACTCTGAGCCATTGAACTATAAGCTAACTGAATCTAACAGAGGTTGGTTGATGCCTTTAGCCAGAAACTCAACTAAACTCAACTCAACTTTATTTGGGTTTTCAGATGTATTCATCATCAATATTAGAATCTTGTCTGAAAACTCAAGTTTTATTCATCTTATTTATCTTAATAAATCCCACAAAACTAGATGGTACAAGACTAGTAGTAAATAGGTATCGTATTGGTATCGGCAATACTGGCCCCTGTATTTACTTGGTATTTATCGGATAGATACCAAATTTTGCAGTATCGTACAGCACTACAGCTGAGCACTTGCACATGGCTGCTGGCTTCTCGCACCACCTGTGGTGCATACAAGGAACATTGGAAATCTATTATGAGTTCAATAGTGTAGCACATTTAAAACTTTTATAAAAACAGAATAATACTGTAAGACAAACACCTCAGGTCATTGGCAGTTTGCATGTTACGTTTCTGAATACTAAATACAGCCTGCTTCTTGTTACACAAAATTACTAAAAGCAACAAAACCAAACTATATATATATATATATACACACACACATATATATGTATATATATATATATATATATATATATATATATATATATATATATATATATATATATATATATATATATACACACACACACACACACACATATATATATATATATATATATATATATATATATATATATATATATATATATACACACATACATATATTATCCGTTAGGTCGATATATAGCACTGAATCACAACAGAAGACATCTCAAGGCACTTGAGAACTACAAGAGAAAATTCATTTTAATTCAATCATACATACATTCCTATTAATTTAATATTTTTGTGTTTAAGAGTTCCATCCTCTTCGGACAAAATAAAAATATTCCTTCCATTTATTTGTGCTATCTTTCCTTGATGTTTTAAAGTCTGCTGTTGTGTGTTCTATGGGGTTTTAATTTTAATAAAATATAAAAAAAAATTCAATAATTTTTTAATAAAATCACTCAGGTTTTATTTGATTTACTATACAAGACCGGTGAAGTCATAATGCAAACCAGATGATGTCATTGTGTTGTATGCAAATTAGCACGTGACATCATCTGGCGACATCTAGCGACTTTTGAGGGGAACTTCAGCTACTTTCAGTCAAAAACAGTTGGCAACACTGCTTGATGCTAACAACAAACACTAATCAGTCAATCCTAGGTGGCCCTTAGGCAGCATGATGAATCCTAGAGGGAAGTGAACAAGGAGTGGACAGTAGAGTAGGGGATGGGTGCTAGTTTAGAGGATGCTCACTCCATATTCACACAAGGAAATTATCAATGTGAGTAAACCATATGGCAGTAGCTCATGCGTACTTTCATCGTGTAAAAGTAGCTCACGGTCTCCAAAAAGTACAAGACCCTGCCTTCAAGGCTCCAAAGTGATAGCAGAAACGAGTTTTTCTCTAAAATGTGTTCATAAAAAAATGTAGCAAATAAAAGATTTTAAAGTAAGGGAACAATTCAGATGAACTGTAGGTATCAAAAATGTGCCAAAACAAAATAACAAGTAGAACGTGTTCCTGTAGCAGAGACTCGGTTCGCCACTCAGACAAGTGAAGAATCAAGCATGAAGTGATACGTGTATGAAGTGGGATGCTTGTTGTTGCAGATACAAACATTTGCACTGTTGAGTACAACTAAAATGTGTGTAGCATTTAGTCAGAATGTCTTCATTCAAGTCAAATTTAATCCTACATGACTTCCATTTCTAGAGTAGGGTTGAGGTGGTGTGTGTTTTCTGACTGTGCTCCGTGTCATCCTGCAGGAGGAGAGCTGGTTCACCTTCCTCCGTATCTGCGCATGGACTTCCTTTTAAACCGAGGCATGTCCTGCTCAGGCTCATCCAGGGGGACAGCCAGTGGGGAGAGAGCAGCCATGGGTCAGGCCTGTCTCGAGCCCCAGAAAAGTCGCTCACTTAAGCGGCCCTCTCGCATGGCGCCTCCAACCCCCACAGAGGCCCCTCAGGCCAGCAGGGACCCAGTGGCACAGTGGCAGCCTGGTTCTGCAGCCACACTCCCCCACAGAGAGGGCTCTGAGTTGGCCCAAGCTGCTAAGCTCAGCACCTCCCAGGAGTCCCTGCTTGACTCAAGAGGACATCTGAAACCGAGCAGCAACCCTTACGCAAAGTCCTACACGCTGGTATAACAGCAGGGCACCAAGGGCAGGACTCTAAGACTGGACTTCACACTCAAGTGCAGTAAACTGACTTTCACCACGCAGTCGTGTATATACAGGCCCTCAGGGCCACTTTTACTAATCTCCTTTTGTTTACTTTAGACTTTATTTTTCATCTTCTTGGTATTTTTACTTTTGTTTCACTCGGGAAAAAAATAAACACTCATCAGGAATGACTCCAGTCGGAGTTTTGCCAAACTAATTGAGTAACAAGGGATGATTATTTATTCTTGGTCATTTCGTTTAATTAATTGATGATTATTAATTGTTGTTGCTATAATCGATCATTTACATTATTTACACCAAGTTTTCATGAGAACCTGGACATTGTTTCCTCTTTTTTTTTAGTTTCCTGCAGTGGAAGATGACCATTTGGAGTCATTTTTTCCTATGGAATATACTCCCGAGGTGCTGAAAGAAACCTTGGGAGAATCTTGGAGTGAAAGCGATTGATGCTGGGCTAAACTTTTCAGCTGCTCTCAAATTGTTACTTTTTTGAAGAAAAAAAATCTATTTCCTATGGATGCATGGGGACTGGCCAATTAAAAGACAAAGGATTACAGTTGTGGCTGGACAGAGCAGTCCGGCATTTTGCCACATTATGAAATGATCCAATGTGAAGATTTATTATTCTTATTACTATAAATATATATATGAAAAGAGAAATCATTTTTATTTGTGGATATTACAGGGAATAATTGGTTTGGTTAACAAAGTCCTTAGTCATGTTTGCACATATTTTGTTTTAATTAGGAAATGGAGTCTGTTAATCTTTGTGTCCCATTCTTGATGGTGCAATATGGAAAAAAAGATATGAGAATATGGAAACTATTGATCTATACTGTACTGTAACCATGAGAATAATGATGTTGTTAGTATACTTAAGGGGCTGGACACAGTCCAGCTCGTATATTCAGGTGTAGTTTACCACAGTGTGTTTGCCAGGATGGTAAATGACGTTAGCTAGAACAGGGAGGGTTTAGAAAACTGATGGTTTGCACTTCACAACAGCCCAACTCCAAATAGATCCCCTACTCAGTGCACTAGGTAGACTATCTCACTCTGCTCACTAGATCTATGGCTGCTGTGCTGCAGGGATGCTCCTCAACAGTGAAGGTTTGAAAAAAGAAAATGTGAGACAATCCAGCAGAGTTCCCCCAAAAACCAAACCTCAAATGTCTATGGGACGTATGTAGAAGAAAAAAAGAGTAGTGTACATGAATATAAGTGAGATGTTTTTGTTCCCTGGACCATTCCTCTTCTGTTTCTTTGGGTTTAGCTTAAACAAGAGTTTGATTCTAAACGCTGTGAGGTCATTCTGTCAGTTTCTACGATTAGTTTTCATGCTTAACTGTCTTCATTCTGGTTATACAATTTTAACAATAAAAATGTCACTTTTTTATTTTTAACATGACTGTTCACAATGATGGCACTGGAATAAAGAGAAACTAACACAATGGTTCAAAGTTGATTAATAAAATGGCTGTTCCCCTAAGTCTCCTGGGCGGCTTTGAAATGAGTGATGATGACAAAGCAGGACCAGGTCCTGCTATCTAGATGGCTCCTTCTACAGCTCTTCTACAGCTGGTGGTTGTTCTCCAAGCCTGCAGGTGGCAGGCTAACTATCAAACCCCATTCACCCACTTTTATCTGATACCTTTATCCCAATCTTATACAGGTCCTTCTCAAAAAATAAGCATATTGTGATGAAGTTCATTATTGTCTGTAATATACTGATAAACATTAGACTTTCATATATATTAGATTCATTATACACAACTGAAGTAATTCAAACCTTTTATTGTTTCTAATATTGATGATTTTGGCATACAGCTCATGAAAACCCCCCAAAAAAAGAGATGGCGGATTTGGTACCAACAAGAAAAAGTTCAGTTTTATTGCCGTTGAGTTTGGCGATATTAGAGGTGAACCAAGATTTGATTTCTGAGAGGCAGAGGGTATGGGAGGAGGGTGGGAGAGTGGAGTTAGATTTACTGGAAATGTAGAGCTGGGTGTCATCTGCAAAGCAGTGAGACTGGATACGAAATTTGCCGAAGATATTGCCAAGAGGGAGGAGATAGATTATGAAGAGGAGGGCCCCAGGACAGAGCCCTGGGGCACACCTGACTTGATTGGGGAGGGTTTTGAGGAGAAGAATTTTAACTGGATGAACTGAGTGTGGCCGGTAAGGTAAGAGTGAAACCAGCGGAGGGGGTGTGAGTGAAACCTAAGGAAGAGAATCTATTGAGAAGGATGGGATGATAAATGGTGTTGAAGGTCGCACTCAGATCAAGGAGAATGAGAATAGAAATCAAACCAGAATCAGCAGCAATGAGTAGGTCGTTGGTGATTTTAATGAGAGCTGTATCTGTGCTGTGGTGGAGACGGAAGCCAGATTGAAATTGTTCCTGGAGGTTATTGCAGGTGAGATGGGAGTGGAGCTGAGATGCAACTGTTTTCTCTAGAATTTTGTAAATGAAGGGGAGATGGGAAATGGGACGGACATTATTGAAGTCATTCAGATCTGAACCAGGTTTTTTCAGTATAGCACTGACTGAAGTGGATTTGAAGAGGGAAGGGGGCTGTTCCAGATGATATTGAGGAATGAATAATGGCTGTTATAAAGGGGAGCAGGGAGGAGAGGCAGGACTTAACTAGAACTGTTGGAAGGGGATCTAGCTGACAGGTAGAAGGTTTGGACTTAGTAATGAGATCTGATAGTTCTGAAGGATGGGGAAGTTTAAAGGAGGAGAACTGAATGGAGGGTTAGAATAAATCGGGGGAGGGGGGGGGGGGTGAAGAAAGATGGATTCTACTGACCTTATCATTGAAGAACTGAAGGAGAGAGTTACAGGTTTCTGAAGAATAAAGATGGATGGGTAAGGAATCAGGAGGCTGAAAGATGCTGTTCATGATGGAAAATAACGTTTTAGTATTGCTGGAGTTGGAGCAGAGACCGGAGTAATACAGTGATTTGGCACGAGAGATGGAGTCCTTGTTGAGAGAAATCTGTGCAGAATATAAGTCTTTATGGATGGTGAGACCGTTTTCTTGTAAAGTATTTCAAGCCTTCGGTTTGTGGCTTTCAAGGAGCGTAGGGTGGGGTAAACCGTGGAGCAGACCGTGTGAAATTGACAGAACGGAATTTGATAGGAGCAGATGAATTGAGGATGGAAGCCAGACCATTACTGTAATGAGTGACAAGAACGTCGGGACTAGAGGATAAATCTGGGGTGAGGGTGGTAATGCTGGAGGAAAGAGAGGTTAGATCAATGTCCTTGATATTACAAAATGAAACAATATGGGCTGACTTGATGATGGAGAGACGGAGGGGAAGTGAAAATGAGATGAGGAAGTAGTCCGGAAAGGGAGCTGATCAGCTGTACAGTTGGAAGGGGTCAGGCCGGAGCAGCAGATTAAATCCAGGGTGTGACCTTTGATGTGAGTGGGAAAATTGGCATATTGATGAAAACTGAAACAGCCCAAAGATGAGGAGAAATCTTTGGTGAGAGGAAGAGCCGTGTTGTCCATATGAATATTAAAATTCCAGTAAAATTACCTTCAGAGAGAGAGAGTGGAGACATGGGTGAGAAGAGCAGAAAATTCATTTAAAAACTCAGAGCTGAACTTGGGGGGACGATAGATAGTGGCGATGATTGTGGGTGACGGGCCGGATAGTCGACAGGCGAGGCATTCCAGAGTGGTGAGAGGAGGCAGACATACAGGAAGGACCTCCTAAGTCTGCCGTGACCCGACCCATGTGGTTTACCCGTGTAAACAAACCTGGCAGGAATACAGTCATTGAGCTGTGAGAAATCACCAGGCTGGTGCCAAGTCTCACTTAAACAAAGAAGGTCTAGCTTTTGGTCCTTGATGGTGTCTTGGAGGAGATGTCCTTTACCAGAGAGGGAGCGAATGTTGAGGAGACCAATATTAGCTGTGCGGTTGTCACTGGTGACAGGAGCGTTAGCCGGACTAGCCAGTCAGACTAACATGCTGGAGTTGACAACTCGGCAGGTATTCTTGGGTAGCCGCCGGCGAACTGTGGACCAGAAGAAGAGTATTCCTTTGGAGCTGTCGAGATGGAGGTTCCGCCGGGATCCCTGATGGGTATACCGCCGGCGAAGCTGGAAGGCGATGCCGGGAAATAGGCACAGAGCTGGTGGTGGAGATCCAGGGTGATGAAAGCGGAGGTTGAAGAGCTCTGCCGCCGAGTACTGGAGAAGTCCATCCACGGTTAGATGGATGAGCGACAAGATGATCCAGGCCAGTGTGAGCCACAGAGAAATCCTGCTGGCCCACATTATGGAGTAGAGAAGAGAGGTGGTGAAGTGGAACCAGAATGTTAGCTGAGCAGGTAGGTTAAAAGGAGTTTTTGCCGACACAGAGAGCAGTCAGGTTGAGGACTGTAAGCGAGAAAAAAAAATAGTGATAAAAAAATCTGAATAAGAGGACTGCACAAATGACTCGGGTGAAAAGAAGTAAAAAACACAGAAAGTTCTCCGGCAAGCAGCGGCAGCCAGACGCGCCAGCGCTCACTCAGCCGGATGTGAATGGCCCTTTAGGCAAAGAGTTTGTGTGTCTGTTTCAGACTGTGTCTCTTTCAGAGACATCTGTTTAAACAAGGTCAAGCCCCTAACAGCAAGAGCGGAAGGAGAGTCAAACCCAGGGGCGCTAGGTATAGCAGCCCGTAGAGCAGGTACCTAATTTACAAAGAATCCATCACAGGCTACAGCTGATGGTGGAACAGTCAAAGAGTCAGTTACAATCAACACCGAGTTCAGTGTAGCATACTGAGGGATTGTTATAGTTCATGGAGACAATGTTAGATTCAGCTTCATTTATTAATGAAACAACAAGTTGGTGGAATTTGTTTTCAGTACAGCATGGCATGCTCACATCACTCTGTCTTCACACAACAGTCCACATAGAACAGGAACACACAGACATTTCAGGTAAAGACTTGATTTAGCGACTGTAAAGCTGTCGGGAAGAAACTGTTTCTGAATCTCACTGATTTGGTTGGTAGGGACCTGTACCGTCTTCCAGAAGGCAGCAATATAAACAGGTGGAATGCAGGGTGTGAAGGACCACAGATGATTTTTCCTGCCCGTTGTGTAATGCATTTGATATAATGAGTCAATGGAAGGGAGGGTATGAACTGTAAATTTGGATGATTTATCTATTATGCGTTGTAGTTTTTTTTCCCATGGCTGTGAGTCCAAATGACCATACCAGACAATTATAGAGGAGAGTATGCATTGGATAATGGCATTGTAAAACTGCAACAGGATAATGTGCCTGACTCTAAATGTTTTTAGTTGTCCAAGGAAGAATAAACACTTATTTGTTTTTTGTAAATTTGATCGGGATGAAAGTACCTAGAAATTTGTATGACTCTGTGATTATAATGGGTTGGTTGGAAATTGAGATGGGTATCTTATGTGTGGAAGAGCGGGAAAAGTCAATTATGAGTTCTTGTGTTTTTAATGCATTGAGCTCTAGGTTGTTGTCTTGGCACCATGTGACTGCACGGCTAACCTGTTCCCGAAAGTATAGTTCATTATTGTTAGTGATAAGCAGTAGCGGTTTTAGGCACGGGCAGACAGGGCAGTTGCCCGGGGCGGCATTTTTTCATGACACAAAAGGGGCGCACAAGCGCGGAGTAAAAAAAAAAAAGGAAATCTGCGCCGCACCGAGGTTTTCTATTATCTGTCATATGACAGTGTCTGGATTGGAAACAGCAAGTTGGCGCCCCCTGCAGTTGCAGGCACTCCTGCTGACTGAGAACATTCACGTGCTCCGTGTGTCTAAAGAACAGGAAGGGGAGGGGTGCGGCGGGGGAATTCACCTCTGCGTCTTTCCCAAATGAAATGGGCGTGCAGGGGCTGAATCAACTGTATTAACATGGCTAAAGCCAATCACATCTTAACGTTCTTCCATATTTCATTCATAATATCATAAACACAGGCCTATCATTCTTTCAGGTTTCTCTGAATTGTGTGAAATGGCCGAATAAAAAAAGGAAAAACAAAACGATTTTGTGGTCACCCCCCCATCAAGGTCAAATTGTCTAGTCCTGACTAAAGGAAACTTACTGAGTCAGGAGCCAAACAGAAGAGATGAACATAAAAAGGCTAAAACCACCAGGTGCCCCATTCAGGGGGAAAAAAAGAAAAAAGAGCAGAAAGATAAAGGTATGTAGCTCTCATGATGCATGTTTTCAATTTTTTGAACCAGTTAACTGGGATTTTAACGGTTAAATGCGGTCAACTAATTGCTAACAGAGCTAATAGGGCTGAAATATTTAAACGAATATTCAAATGGTTTGAAAAAAGTCCTTGAATCGTTTTTTATTGATTCAAACTAGGATTTGTTAAATGCTCACTGCAGCCTGTGGCCCGCCTGAACAACAACAAACATGTTGATCATGTTCACATAATAATAAATGAAACCACTCTACAAGCAGAAGAAAACACCCCAGTCACCACTAACTGTCCTGGTTATTTATTGCAGATGGCTGCACTGATTATTTTTTACATGATTTGTTCTGTAAAAGTTGGCATTTTTGGTAGTCTACAGTTTTTTATGTCAGTTTAAATTACAATTTCAGAGGCAATTCTAAAATATTATGGATCATGAGATCTATTGGAGATCTACCCCAACTTTTGGACTGCTCTGCCAGTCACTGTGGCTCAAGCTGAGAGGAGCTTTTCAAAACTTGATCAAGTCATACCTGAGGTCACCTATGTTTCAGGGGCGGCTCACTAACCTGGCTCTGATTAGTATCAATCACTCAGTAGGGGAGCAGATTTCATGTGATGACATTATTGATGATGTTGCATCAAGGTTAGGTTTTAATTTTAGTTTGTGTTTTCTGTTCTAAGTGCAATGCTGTAGTGATTATCTTTAGTTTGTTACGTGTGAAATATTTTTGCTATTTAGAATATTTATTATCTATTATGTTCATATATTCTTAATATTTAGTTATTGTTTGTTTTTGTATATTTGATTCTATATATTTTGATACAGTATATAATGTATATTGCTTACAACTTCATAGTAATTAATGTAAATATGTGCAACTTAGAAAAATGAATGTTCAATAGTCGTTCTAATAAAACATGCCTGTTTGTAGAAAACATGCATGTGTTCATGCAGGTGGGGTGGTGTGGTGGTGGTGGTGGTGGTGGTGGGTGGGGGGGGGGTGCTCAAAGAGGGCCTCGCCCGGGGAGTAATTTGATGTAGAACCGCCACTGGTGATAAGACCAATGATGGTGGTGTCATCTGCATATTTGAGGACAGAGACTGAGCTGTGAGAGGATACCAGTGAGCTTGTGTAGATGTGAAAAAAGCCAGGGAGAAAGAACACACCCCTGAGGGACCCCTAACCTGAGCGTCAGAGAGTGGGACAGCAGGATACCAATCCTATCTCTCAGTCCTATATGATAAAAAATTGTGTATCCAATGGCAAAGAGTGATGTTGACGCTCATATCCTTGAGTTTATTGAAGAGGTTGACAGCGTTGACTGTATTAAAGGCAGAGCTGAAGTAGATGAAGAATATTCAGGTATATGTGTGAGAATAAATAGCCAAGTTTATTGCATCATCAACTGATCTGTTGGACTGATAAGCAAATTGGTGGCTGTCCATGAGGGGAGAAGTGAGCTTTTTCAGGTGAGTTAGTATGATATGTTCAAAAGACTTCATTACAATCGAGGTGAAAGCTATACATGTAGGTACACAAGATATTTAGTTGGATTTCAGTACTGGACTGATAGAGTCTTAAAGGATTTGGAGACAGTGCACTTGTGGTAGCCGTTTCTCAGGCTCCCTCTCCGGAATCAAACCCTGATTCCCTGTTACCCGTGGTCACCATGGTAGGCACTTAAAGTACCATCGAAAGTTGATAGGGCAGACATTCGAATGAGACGTCGCCGCCACGGGGTCCAGCGATCGGCTCGAGGTTATCTAGAGTCACCAAAGCAACCGAGGCGCCCCGAGAGTTATCCCCGCGAGGGATTTTGGTCTGATAAATGCACGCATTCCCAGAGGTCAGTGCTCGTTTGCATGTATTAGCTCTAGAATTGCCACAGTTATCAAGTAACATTGGAGCGATCAAAGGAACCATAACTGATTTAATGAGCCATTCGCAGTTTCACTGTACCGACCGTGTGTACTTAGACTTGCATGGCTTAATCTTTGAGACAAGCATATGCTACTGGCAGGATCAACCAGGTAGTCCCCATGGAGAAGGCCGGGCGGTGTAGGCGGGTCGCCCGGAGGCGAGACCACCAGCACCGGAGCCGGCCGCCACCGACAGGGGGGTGGGTGCTGGGAGAGTGGGAAGAGGAGTCGTGGAGACGGCAGCCAGGCGGGCTCGCCTTAGGACACCTGTGTTACAGTTTGACAGGTGTACCGCCCCAGTCAATACTATGAGAGCTGTTAAAGATTATGGTAAAGATTGGGGCTAGTTGGGCTGCACAGTGCTTCAAGACAGCTGGACTAACACCATCTCGCCCTGCAGCTTTCCTCTTTTTATTTCTGCAAAACGTAGTTTTGACCTCTTCTTCTTTGGTGTAACAGCTGCAGCTTAGACATCTCATGGGGCTTAAAGGAGATGTACAGTTGGATGTCATCTGCATAAAGATGGTAGGATATTCCTTTGAAGGAGCTCAGGATGTGCTGAAGAGGAAGCAGATAGAGGAGGAAGAGCAGAGGCCCCGGCAAAGAACCTTGTGGGACACCATGGGTAAGAGAGGTGGTGGAGGACCTGAACTTGGAGAAAGCCACAGAGAAGGAGCGCTCAGAAAGATAAGAGGAGAACCACTCCAGAGCAGTTCCTGATAGGCCTACCCAGTCTCAGCCTCTCCAGTAGCAGGTGATGGTCAACAGTGTCAAAGGCTGCAGTCAGGTCCAGCAGGACCAGAACAGAACAGTCCCCTGCATCACTGTGAGTCAGAAGGTCATTAGAGACCCTAAGAAGAGCTGTTTCAGTAGAATGAGCTCTACGAAAACCTGACTGGAAGCAATCATAGATGTTATGTTCATCAAGAGCAGCTGTGAGTTGTTTAGCCACAACCTTTTCCAAGATCTTGGAGATGAACGGAAGTTTAGAGATGGGTCTGAAGCTGCTATAAAGAGAGGGGTCAAGACTTGGTTTTTTAAGAAGCGGGTGGATTACAGCGTTCTTAAAGTAAGCAGGGACCTGACCAGAGACCAGAGAATCATTAATTATAGAGAGCATGCTGGGACCGATGGACTGAAAAGCACTTTTAAACAAAGATGAGGTGAAAAAGGGGCGTCATCAAACTCCTCACCTGAGAATCGAGACACCCTACGCACTCGCAACCCTGGTCAGGATCACACAAATGAAGGGTGCAAGTGTGAATTTTGGGATTGGGCCGAAGACTTGGCAGTCACTGATGACGTGGAAGCAGTGGCAGCAAGTGGGGTGGGGGTGGGGGTGGGGAGGGGGGCAAGTGACAGGGAAAACCCACTCTTTCTATACACAGCCAATCTACCGAAACTGTGTGGCTGATATCCTGCAAACATAACACAAGCAGGTGTCTGCTGTGTTTTATGCTATGCTAAAGCTAAAGGAGTACAGCCGGACCCGGGAGAACTCTAGAAAATATGTCAACAGACAAAATAAAATTTTGTTTGGAACATCCCTTTCAAGTTGTCACATTTCCCCATCAAGTTTTTCTTTATAAATTATCAAGTCAGAGTAGAAAAGGTATTTTTTGTGTCAGCGAGCTTTGTAAGTGAGCCCCTTGGACATCGTCTACTATCCCTTAGGGAAAATGTGGTTAATTTTAAAACAATCCACGGCATTTTCCATGATAAAGCATGACGTAACTGCACATTAACATCTGCGCTTAAAGCCATGCACAGGAAGAAAAGGACCAGCAGTTGTAGAATTTGTGACAATGAGCCCTTTGTTAAAGGATTTACTCAGCAAATATAAAAACTAAAGACTCATTTTAATATTTACATCTGTTCATAAACGACTCAGTCACTGGATTATGAAGGAAGCTCCATGTTGGAGCAAACGGTGAGCTCTGCAGAAACACAGTCTCACATTGTATTCATGTAAAAGTCAAAGGTGAACAGGAAGGTGAAAAGTACCGAACCGTTACTGATAATGTTTGTGACTCTCATTCCTCGCTGTCATGCTGACGGGCAGGAGGTTTGAACCCAAGATGCAGAACACCAGATAACGCACACAGGAGCGGAGGTAAATACATAAATTCTTTATTCTTTTAGAGGTGAGGCTTAATCCAGCAGTTAAAAACAGGAGCTAGGACTCGGGCAAAAACACGGAAGGACACAGAACTGCTCTGACACATACAATGGACCGACAAATACTGAAGGACAAGACAGGGGTTTTAAACACAGAGGGAGGTGATCAGGGGAACAGGTGGCAGGTATGCGTAGTGAGAGCTGGAGGGAAGGCAGGTGAATACAATAATCTAATTGAGGGGGAAAGAAACAAGCAAGATGACAGAAAACCTTAACCTATAACACAAGGATTAAACTAAACCTAAAGACTGAGGGCCAAAAATAAACAACTAATAACTAGATGGATGAGGACTAAATAAAGATTGACTAGGAATGGGGAATGATTAGGACACCTGAGGGAAGTCTACAGAGGGCTGGGGATAATAATGGGACACAAGAGAAAAACCTGGAGTGGGAACTGGAGGGGCTAGGGAACAAAGGGACACAGAACATGACACTCGCTGTCACTGTTTAATGTTGAATTGTTAATCAATTACAAACAAAATAACTAATCTTATGAAATGATTTTCGGACTTCAGGAAGTCATCTCAGTCACACCTGTTTTCACTGTAATTCTGTAAATCTCAACTTTATTTAAAAAAATAAACCAGTCATGTTTTAAAATCCAACTTTATTATAAAAGCATTCAGGTTATAAAATGGTTTCAATCATAACATACGTGTTGTGTTTCCGTAACAGACACCAGGTTCTGTCTGAAGACACGTGGACATAAAGACGTGAGCAGTGCTCTCAGTCTTTGGTTCAGAGACCAACATGTCCTCAACAGTCAGACTCATGCAGGCTGTTTCTAACACCTTTAACCACAAATAAATATATTCACACTTTATCGAGGCTGAAAAACAATGAAAGTGATTATTCAGCACAGACCAGTTCAGAGTAAAAGTTTAATCATCAATCCATTGCAGATATTTGAATCTATCAGTTATTCATCTGCACTAAAGGTGTAAGTGACAAAAGCCTGTAGGTCTACAATGATGCTGTCTGTTTAAACCGTATGACGCATGCTTGGATGCACTCTGCATGTGTGCTGCTGCGAGACTCCAGCAGCAGAGGCAGCAATGTAGCTGTTCGGTTCAAAATGTTGCATTAACTAAATAAACCAACTAGAAAGATACCACTAACTTGTTAGATCAGAGGACTTCTTCGTATCTCCAGACATGACCAGGGTATCTGCAGGTTTAAAGGGACGTTACGGAGTTTTGAATTTTTATGCTCGTGATTGCCCCCTAAGGCCAAAAGTGTAACGGCAGCTTCAATAGTAGGCTTGTGCACGAGGCGCGCATGCTGTACGTGCACACTCCTTAACGAAAATAACAGCTGAGACAGTCCCGTGTGTGTGTGTGTGTGTGTGTGTGTGTGTGTGTGGCCCGGAGGACAGAGGACAGGAGAACACACAGCTAATTAATTAAATTATTCGGTTCTGTACCTTTCTCTTCAGCACAGCAGACAAAGCTTTAAGATGGGTCAGTCCGTCAGCTTCACAGAGCTTCCCTTCCCTTGCTTGAAAAATTGTTCCAAAATGAAAGTTGAACCCACATTTTTTTAAATCTGTGAATTCAATGCCGTTCGGCGAGTCTCAAATAAAAATTAGGGCATCTTACTGTAAAATAATATACCATTAATGTAAAAAATAAACTCTAAATTATTTATGTTCACATCCACAATTGAACCCAGATCTTCAGCACAAGTCTCCAACATCTTACTAGGTGAGCTAAATCACCAGTCTGTAACTCTTATATAGTGGATGATAGCTGAAACAACATTCAAAGAACGGTTCGGAGCAAAAATGGCTATTTTGTTGCTAATTTGCAGGAAATATCTAGAAGAAAGTAGCTAAGGGTCCTCAGAAATGTAGCTAGGTTCATCGCTAGGCGTTAGGAACAGTGACAAAGTCGCTGAGTTGGCACTATCTCACTCTCTGTTGCTAAAGCTACTGATAGCAAACGCTACGCGCTATGCCTGAGCGTGAACGCGCATGAAGCAGCCTGCTCGACCCAAGCAAGTTTCTTTTTCTGTGATTTCACAGAAAAACAGGCAATCACAGTAAAAATGCCAGGGCTCATTCTACAGGACCAGGGCACTGCAGGAGAATGTATGAAGAAGAAATTTATTATTTCTATACATGTTTTGGCTGTCAAACTTCCATAATGCCCCTTAAAGGGGGGCAAATTTAAGACTTTTTAAGACCTTTTTAAGGCCACTTTGACCAAATCTAAGCTATAATTTCCAGCCATTACCTGGAACCGGTGCTAACCACGTTGCGAACGTGGGATTAGCCATCCGGTTACCATTAAACCTGCACTTCCCCATGGCGCAAGCTACCACTAGCTTAACCAGCTAATGTGCTCATCTAAAAATAGCCCCCTTTCACAACCAACTGAGTGTGTATGGTTCCGCTTACACATCATACACAAAAAATGCTGAATACTAACTAGAAATTCAAGAAAATTTTATAGAAATAAAAGATTCTTGTTTATTGGGTGTTTGGTAATTTAAGATCTTTGGAAACTTTATTTAAGGATTATTTGTCATTTTTAAGGATTTTTAAGACCTTAAATTTGGAAAAGCAAATTTAAGACTTTTTAAGGACCCGCGGATACCCTGATGATGTGGAATGTCCTCACCGACTGATCAGATCCTAGTGATGTTAACTTCCTAGTGGTGGTAAAGTCATAGCTTGAAAAACAGTATTCTCTTTTCTACCTCTGACTCCGTTTTCGTAAAATAAATACATCTGAAAAGGATTCCTGTAGATGACCGGTGACAAAGGCTTTAGAGGCGAATTTATCAAAGACAACAAAGGTAATATAAGCAGGTACACACTGTATCCATTGGCATCCGTTAGGTTGAAAACAGTAAAAAAAAAAACTGTGAATAAAAAACAGGTAAACCATCAGTGAAACCTAAAACACGTGGAGCTATTTTCTGATGTTCTTTACTAAACCGTGAAGTAAACCTAGATGAACTTCTGAGAAGTCGCTGGTGCTCTGGGACAACAGAGCCATATGCTGTCCCTGTCAGACCAGAGAGCCTGCCTGGTTCTGAGCTGGAACCATAATGGGCACCCCCCCCATTCGGCTGATGTTAGAGGCAGTGAAGGTGGAAGTGGGAAGCGGTGGTGGAGAGGGGGCAGTCTGAAGCCGCCCTGGAACCTGGCTGTAGGTTTGAGGCAGTGCCTGGGGCAGCTGGCCATAGCGCTCCTGCACTGGAACAGGGCTTCCACTGTTGGTAGGAAGGGAGGAAACTTGCTGCCCAGCTGGTAATGTGCTGCTGTTGTTGTAACTGTAGCTGGTGGAGGCTCCCTGGAGGCGGGCTGGACGGTACCCAGCTGTGCTGCCAGTTGCTGTGATTATAGAGGCAGTGTCTGAGGCAGGATGCTGGGGGTATTGCTGTAAATGGTGTTGATGGTGCTGGTGGGGTGATCTGAAGTGTTGGCTGGAGGCAATAGAAGACAGAGTGCCGTTCTTGGAGATAAGCTCTGAACCCAGTCCACTCTTTGCCCAGGACACTCGTTTAGGAGCCTGAGCGTCCTCCCTGCAGGACAGAAGGACAGGATGAGTAAAGTTTAAAGCCCCTCACCCTCTTTCTGTACTGAATGAGAACATCTGAGCTAGAGATGGACAACAACTAGAGTTGGCATCTACTTTTAAATGTCTAGGATCTTTATTGACCAATTGAGTTTAAAGGAACAGATTTTGTATGTTTGAATCAAAACTGAAACAGAAGTAAGCAATGCTTTTGGTTCTGTGTGTTTAATACATGAATGCTCTCTCCACTGTCTTTCTATGATGGAGTGTGTGTTGACTTAATTATCATCTGCCTTTTTCAAATGGATCATATATTTAAATAATATGTCAATAAACATCCATATATTTACACTCACTAGCCCAAGTCTGTCTGACGGAGCTACCATCAGCTAAGTCAGCAGAGGTGGAAAGAGTACTGTAATGTCCTACTTAAGTACGAGTACCAATACTTTGATAATATTTTACTCAAGTACAAGTAAAAGCACTTGCCTAAATTTTTACTCAAGTAAAAGTAAAAAGTATTGTAAATAAAATGTACTCAAAGTAAAAGTTACGTAGTTACATTTTTGTCAGCGTAAGGATGGCTACATCTAAGTAGTGCAAAATCACAATGCCAGTTTACAATTCGCTCGTGTGCGCAAAACGCAGACAATCCGGTTGTTATGAGCGCTAAACGTTATTTTGCTGCTGCTGTGCAGAGCGGTTGGGGAAACACATTTCAAATATGGAACCGAGTCTGGCTACTGAACCGAGCAGAATTTTGATGACGTAACACCGGAGCGCAAACGTGCGGGTTGCAACCCACAGGAGAGGAGGGAGAGAGGAGGTAAACGGCGAGTGGATCACAGGGACTGAACTGATGTTTGTGAGCAAGACAGTGGTAAAAATGGCTGTTTGTCCTCATTATCAAAAGTGCATTCCCCCCCCACACACACGGTTTAGACGCGGCGCTCATGCAGATGTCTCTTCCTGTTCCGACACTATGACACACAATATTTTTAATTTATTAGGCCTACAATTTATTTTTACTCAGTAACGGATATGATTTAAAATGTAGCGAATTAAAATTCTTTTTAAAAAACTTACTCAAGTAAAAGTAAAAGTGCAGATTTTAAAAATGACTTAAAAAGTATAAATACACAAAAACGCTACACAATTACAGTAACCTGAGAAAATGTAATTCGTTACTTTCCACCTCTGTCAGTCGGACAGCATCAGATGACCTAAGTGATGAATTTGTATCTGTTACGGCCACCAGCCTGGCCTCTTTAGCTCCAGGAGCCAGGATCACTCAGCTCCAGTGATCAGCCCAGACACCACCCCTCCTCCTCTCCTCCAGAATGCTGATGAGCACTGCTGAACTGAATCCTATTGGTGAACAACATCTGGGATAAAAGGCCGTGCCATCCAGCAGTCTGCTGTCCTCCAGGCCTCAGAATTTGTTGACTCAACCATTTGGTGTAGCATACTTTGAGACACCATATTTAATGGACAGGAGTGCTTAACTTAACCTTATTGAGCCATCTCTACCACTTGGTTGCATTATGTTGTACTAAACAAATCCACTAGATGGCACTGTGTCAGGAAATTGCAGGCCTCATCTGCCACGCTCCCACCAGGAAATCAGAAATAAGAAAATTGCTCTGACACATGGACTGTTTTGGCAAAAATGTGTGAAGGTAAGTACATTTTGCCACAGTAAAACCATGTCATTGATTTTGCAGAACATTATTGTGTCATTTGATACCCGAAAATAACTGTAATAAATTAATAATACTTTTTCCAAAACATGAGGTTGAGTTGTCAATTAATTATAAGATTAGCAACACTTAGGCTACGTTCACACTGCAGGCCTTGATGCTCAATTCGAATTTTTGAGTAACTCTGATTATTTTGTGTGGCCGTTCACGCTGTGACTGAAATGCAACATCAAACTCTCTCCAGTGTGAACGCTCCAGCACCAAAGCGACCCGCATGTGCAGAAGACAAGAAGTCCCGCTCAGTGGGGCCGAAACCAGGAGCGGCGGAGTCGTGATGTGATCCTGATCCTGTGGATAAACTATCAGTGAAAACTTTCACACCTGCTAATTCTCCCGTTTTGAGCTGGAAACTGTTTTAAAACTGTAAACTATTTTACTCCTTGTTCCCGCCGTCTCCCTGAAGTATTATTCACCGAAAATGTCCCGGTATTCATTCATTCATGGAGGATCCCCCTCTCACAGGGACATTTACTTTCCTGTGCAAGGTGGATATGGTGTAAAGGATACTTCCAAAATTTTATGGAAAAAAAGATGTTAATGCCGTTTCAACACTACAATGAAAGGTCAGCAGTAAACTTGCATGTTCAGAACATCTATTACAGTATTTGTATAAAAGGTTTCTGATCTTTATTTGTGTATTTTTTACACTTTCTAGTTTGTTAGAATAACTTCCGCTGTTGAACTGGAATCCAACTCTTTGATGTCTTACTACCAAAATAAAGTGGGTAAAACATCTGAGTAGTAGTTTTTTTTTTCAAAATGAGTATAATGCTTATTTTTCCCCCAGTTGTTAGGTCTGTTTTACTTTACGTACCATACTTTTACCGTAGAGACAATTCCATAGGCGAAAATCCTGGGGGGCCAGAGGGGGACATGTGCCCCTCTGACATAAATGTGTCCCCCCCAAAACTCCATAAAACACAAAATGTTTGTTATGTATTCACTTTTGTTGAACGCGAATTACAAGTTGTGCTACTTAAAAACAAGATTTACTAGGTTAGGACCCAAAATGTAGAACCCAGGACGACACGAGGCAGGAGTGGAGATTAAGTAAAATCCTTTATTGAGGATGAATCAAAACAAAAATAAATCCAAAGGGCAAGAAGCCAAAAACCAAAAATATCTAAATACTGAACTGGAGATCAAAAAAAAAAAAAAACACTAGAGACTCAAGAAGCACTGGAAACACTAGAGATCCAAAACGAGACGAGACTGACAGAAACAATGGACCAACAACACAGAGACACAGACTGGGTTATGTACACTGGGGAGGATGAGAGGGAGATGAACTGCAGGTGTGTGGGGAGAGAGAGACCAGGTGAACTCAATTACTAATTAGGGAGGAAACAAACATGACCTAAGAATAAAAACTAAAGACAAGAAGCGCAGGAACATAACTAATAATCTAAGGAGGGGGAAAAACCTCAAACATCGATGGGAAAAACATACTAGAGAGACTAATAACATGAACAGCTGTAACTAAGGAAAAATGACCTAAGAATAAAACCTAAAGACCTGAAGGGCAGCAAACATAACTAATATTCTAAGGGGGAAAATTAAACTAGAAGAAAACACTACAGAAAGAAAAAACTACAGGGACGTGGCTAAAAGGGGGCCAAGGGAGCACAGGACCTGAGAGGGGGATGCCTGAGGAGGAAGGAAATCTAGAGGGGCTGCAGATCTGGGAACACAGAAAGAGAGACTACAGGGGCGTGACTAAGGAGGACCACAGGACCTGAGAGGGGGATGCCTGAGGAGGAAGGAAATCTAGAGGGGCTGCAGATCTGGGAACACATGAGGAAGACATAGACAATGACACAAGAGGGCGCTAGGATACACAACAGGAGAATCTAGAGACGGATGGAGAACACAAGGAGACACATGAGGGAAGGGGCAGATGCAGATCATGGCAATTCTGTTTTAACCAGGTGTTTAATTTGTTGATAAGTAGTATTTTAACTGTTAACCTTTTTAGAACCTTTTCAGTTATTATTTATCTGATAGGAACAGTATGTTCAAATAAACAACATCAAATCTGATCTAAATCATATTAATTGTGGATTACCACAAGGGCCGGTACTAGGCCCTAAACTATTTATTATTTATATAAACAATATGGTTTCTATGTCTACAGTATTAAAGTGCATCTTGTTTGCAGATGACACAACTTTTTATTATTTTCGAGACAGAAAAGCTTCTGCTGATCACAATTCAACAAAGGATTATGAAAGAATGGATATCACTCAAAACGCGCGGATTCGTCCTGATGTAAGAGGTGAGTGTGCGCTTTGTTTTGGCGTCAACATCATCCTAGCGTGCAACGTTCTGTGGCTCTTTAAAAAAAACTGTAAAAATGGTGAGAAACGCTGGCAGCAAAGGGCTTTACCGATCAGGAAACGGCTGGCAGCGAATGAGTTAAAGCCTTTTTAATTCCACTGTTCCAAGTTCTTACCCCCTCCTTCACACTTTGACATCTCTGTCGCGGTTGCAAGCAGCTGTGGCTGATTCTACATGAATGTGGAGCGAAGTTTTAACCCGAAGATAGAGATGTAGTTACCGTTTTGGGTTGAAATATTACATTTAAGTTGCACCAAACTGCCAAAAATAACGATTACACATGTGTACAGCACTATTAGACACCCATCTAAACAGGGTATCAGTAAAAAAATGAATTTAGATGTTACTCATTCTTTAAAGGAGACCACTTAGTCCACTGATCTCAGACTCAGGGGGAGAGAAACAAAACTACTCGCAGATGAGCTGACTTCAACCACACTGTACAGAGCTGTTTCAGGCTGAGTAGTGTTGATGAAAAACTCACTGTAGAGGAACTGCATATCTCATGGGATCTCCTCCAGGCTCTTGAGAATGTGCTGGGAGACGATCCTTCTATGGCCTATATTAATTTGCCATCTTGGTGGACTAGCAACCACTGTAAGCTCCAGAGTAGACTCAAATGCTCATAAATTAACTCACTTGATGTCATTGGCTATGTCATCCTCGTTCTCTCTCCGCCTTTTGAAAAAGAACAGGAAGCCGACGCAGATGGCGAGTATGAAGATGAAGCCCAACACTGACCCAACTGCTGCACCAACAGTCATTCCCAGTTTATTAGCTGGAATCATGAAACACAAACTGTTAAAATGACAACAAACAAAATAATTCTCTAGAAAACAAACCCCACAAAAATCTGTACAACACACCCCGGCTGGTGTTACACACCATGAAAGCCACCGGAAAGTCATTGGAGGGATGGTGGTGTTGGTGTGAGCAACTTACAGTTAACAACCTCCAGGTTGATGAAGCAAGTCTCTGATCCGGCTGTGTTGCTGGCTGTGCACTCGTATTTTCCTGACATGTTACTACTCAGGTTGTTTAGCTTCAAAGTGCCGGCCTTCTCATCTAAAACAACAGGTTGACAGTGAATTCCTGCAGAAACATACTTGGTACACATACAAAACGCAGGACTGCACTGTGGAGATGTCCACTGGTTTGAGATGTTCTAAATGCTGGTTGTTTCACAGGAAACTCCACTCACTGAGCGTTGGTGAGAAGAAGACCTCCGAGGTGGGGCTGGTCTTCTTCCACTTGTACAGAGGGAGGGGTTTCCCAGCAACAGACGCACATGTCAGGGTCACATTTCCTTTCAGCACTGGCTTCCCAAGCAGAGAACACTTAGGAACAGCAGGAGGGACTAGGAAGGACAGAGAAGGTTAGCTTTCCTCGTGACTCTGGGACTCAGTCTCTTCCAACAGCTGGTGTCCTCACCTTTCACTTCCAGATTGAATTCCGTAGGAGGCTGCAGGTTGTTGGGAGTAATAACCTGACAGGAAAAGTAGCCCGAGTCGGACTCCCTAGTGTTGTTGATGTACAGGGACAAATCTTGCGAAGGCATGGTGGCGACAAACCCAACACGCCCATTGAACTGGGTGGAGCCCACAATTATGGACCCTTTGGTGTATGAGATGATCTGAATGGAGTCAGAGGAAAACAACCCAAATGCATCAAATGCATGGTTCTGACTGACACCAAATAACACAACAGCAAACATAACTTCAATTTCAGTTTTGCTGAGATCCACAAACAAGTGGATGGATTTCTGAGTCTATCATTTCTGTTGCAAAGACATCTAAATCAAACAGGAAGTTTAGATCAACTCAATCCTCTGCTGCAAATTCTACCTCTGATGGAAAATGTTTCTTTTCACTACATACATACAAGTATGCAAAGGAAAAAGTCAAGTGTTTTCTACTTCCAGCAGTTTTCCAACAGAGATAATGAGATCTTTGTCCATAGGGAGCCAAGTTACCAGGAAAACCAGAAGACCTACAGCTCAGCATTCCAGTCCACATTCCCAAGCATTGGTTTTTGGATGAAAACCCAAACAGCCATAGCAAGTTAAAACTGGTCCCTACATCATTGGTGTGTTCTTGCTGTGTTTAGTTTCAAATTCCATCTTTCAGTTCTTTTTAAATCACAGAAAAAGTGTTTTAAAAAGAACTGAAAAATGGAATTTGGTCCCTACATGCCCTGCCCCACCCATCAGGGCAGTGGCGGTTTTACCATTAGGCATAGGTCGGCTAGGGGGCCCCCTTGTGTTGGGGGCCCCCCTAGCCCTGACCAACAGCACCCCTCTGTTAATGCCACAATATTCTTATTACCAACCTGTCGCCGCTGACGGGATTGGACATGTGCACTTCTCATTGCCATAATTCCTGAACTGTTCAAGATATCATTAAAATTCCAAAAGTGCTGAAAAGAATAAAAGTGGGGCTTTTCGAGCATATACAATACATTACGGTAGTCACCGGGATTCCCTGTCTTGAGCGCAACGAATCACAACACAGATTCAGAGATGTGCTGAGTTTGTCATCCAAAATGCTCCGTTTTATAACTTTTGAATGGCTGATCAGATTCAAAGAAATTCCAACGGTTCCTAAAAGTACATACAAGCAGCTTTCCAACGATTTATAGCATGAAGCAATCAGAGTTATGTAAAATATCGCTACGAGGGGAAATCCTGCTGTACAGCCTGATTGAAACGAAGCACAGCGGAGCGCAGCGCCGTGGTGAAAGCGGATAACGGAACGGGGAAGCTATTTAGCATAAAAAGCCAGCATGAAATTATGGAAATGCCTCAAAGAAAATCAACACAATCCATTAGGTGTCCCAGAAGGCTTTTATCTGAAGACAGTGACCACGAAGAAGGACAGATCTCCGGTGAACCAGGGTATGAATGTTTGTTCCATCTGTATTTTTATTTTTTTTATTTGAACAACCCTCAACTATTTGCTAATTATAAGATTCAGCTTCATTCCAGCATTATTTATCTTTTTACAACAAATAATTATTTTTGCTAAAACAAAAGTTTTTGTTACAGCAGTACACGGTGTGCAAGAGAAGCACCCCAGGATGGTATGAGGTGTGCTCTGCCTGCAGCTGGAGAGAAACTGCTTCAAGGTCTACCACATCAAATAAAAACGTCTGAAAGTTTACAAAAATAAATGGTCTTAAAAACTGCTTCAAAAGATACCAAGGTTCAAACTTTTTTAAGAATAAATGCATTACAGTTCAAAGTTTAAGTAGTTTGCCCAGTAATTTAGAAGTTCATGTTCAGTAATAAATGTAAAAAAATTCAAATCTGTTTTTTGCTTTTTTCACTTTTAAGCTGATTTTTTTAAAGGCTTTAATAGAAATAAATTCTAAACACAAACCATACACTAAAAGCTGAAGTTGTTCTGAAAAAAGGAGAGAGTTACACACACTTTGCGCTTTTTATTACAATTTTACAGCCATAAGATTAAAAAAATACCAGGCGGCCCTGTTATAATTATGGTCATAAGAGGATTATTAAGACGGCGATGCACAAACTGGAAGTGATTGGTAGTCATTCCACTCCAATCCAGTTGGTGGCGGTAATGCACCAAATTGTTGTTTGCCAAGTGCCATAAGACCACAAATAATAAGAAGAAGAGAGGCGGGAGCGTTCAAAACAAACTCAAAGTGATAGCCAAAACATGAAGCATGAAATGGAGTTATCCTAGTGGCTCCAATAAGAGAAAGAAGCAGCATGCTTCATAAAAGCTTTTATTTTTATAAAACACAAAGAGAGGAGGATGGAGGGACAACAGTACACCGTCGGGGTGAGCGTGCCTCCTCATGTGCTCCATGAGCGTTTGACACCTTCCCTTTATAGGTTTAAGTCTGCCCTCCAAACACTACTTTAGCCTCGCCTTTCCCACAGGACTGTCTTCAGACGTCAGTGTGACGCTCCTCTATTAGCGGCACCTTGTGGCGTTCTTGTGTACCTTTCAGCTCACTAACGCTGCTCAGTTAGGTTTTACTAGTTTCTCTTTTATCTCTTATCTTAGTGCGTTTACTCACTCCTGTTGTATTGTTCTGTGTCCCTTTTCTGCAGGTCGAGAAGCAGACTCTTGTCCATCATTGATTGTTTATTTTTGTGACCCCCCCCCCACCCCCCCCACCCCAAAAGTATCCAAAAAACAATAACAATAAAGTTTTAAATATCAGGCGTGACATTAACAGCAGAAGCGTTGATGCCTGAGAGTAAATCTGTAAGGCTTGTCACCAGCATTCAGACATCAATTCTGTTTGCTTCACAGCCAGACAGGACAGGGGGGAAAAAATCAATGAATTAAAAAATAAATAAATAAAATAAACTACGAACCCCAGCTTTGAATGCTTAAATTGAAAATAACCAGACTTGTACATATAAAATTCAGTGTGGCTGCTCACCGGCTGGGTGGTGTTTTTGATGTAATTCCAGATGATGGTGTTGGTGTTCAGGTCACTAAGTGGATCCGGGTTGTATGAGGCCTTCAGCACCACCTTTTGACCCTGGATGGCTTCCATATTGATCATCGAAGTTTGGACCCACTCACCTGGATAAAGAACTTTCTGGTCAGAATTGTATCCAGTTGCAGACAAAATATTGATCACAAAAACATTTTTCAAATAGTATATCCAGATTCAAAATACCAGCATCTTTTTTGGATAAGGTGGAATGAAAACTCTACAGTACTCAGCATAAATGAGTACACCCCACTACATTTGTAAGAAAACCTTTAGTTTCCTTCCAGAATCAACATTCTCTGTCAGACACCGTTCTACTAAACACTCCCACTCATGTGGGCCATTGGTTGCAAACCAGATTTGTTCAATTTCACAAAAAAAGTGATTTTCCTAACAAATCCATTCAAGGCCATGTTGCAAAAATGAGTTCACCACAATTAGAGTCTTAGAAGAAAAGTCACACGTCAAACTGCAAAAATCTAATTACCAGGCATTCAACCACAGGTGAGTCTGACTGATAAGAGGTGTCCAGCAAACAGGAGACTATAAAAGAACATTACTGATCCATTGTAAGATGTCACCAGCAGCTCCACATGGAAGAGAAACGTCACAACATCTGAGAAAGGAAATCATTTCCAGGGTTTTTCCTGGCTCAAATTGAGGCAGAGGTGGTACCATCCTGATCATGCGCCAGCACATGCGTACTCTGTGCATTCAACTGCTCTCACTTTTTAAAGGCAAAGTATCATAAAAGGCTCAATAATATGCATTAGATTAGTGTTTAGTTCCATTGTTCCCATCTGATATTTATAGTTAAAATATTTTTAAATATTTGACGTGCATTTCAGTAACATTTTAGGTTTGTATTAATAACACTCATCTTAGTCAAAATAACACATAAATGTATCCAGTAAAATATAATGCATTTCATTAACATGTACAGGTTGGCAATAATCCAGTTCATTATGTTCAAAGATAGAAGCGTTTGTGAATTATATACTACAACGGCTTTCCTTACTTCCTGCGCCAGCAGTAATGTGACTTGTATCTGCAGAGGTTTTGATGCGCAGCGCTGCAGGATGCAGAATAAACAGGACGGTGGGGACTTTTCATCCGCTTGTAGAGTTTAGTCTTTCTTAGTTTTGCGATCATCAGATATTTTTCTGTGTTTGATCGTGAGACTGTTACTCGTTAGCTTTAGCATTAGCCAATTTGCATGTAGCTGCACTTTTGAATCCCAACTTTGGACCGGTGTTGGGACAAGATCGGCTCGGGGTCCGTCGACTGCCGGTGACGTCAAAGTAGTTGATTGGCTGAAAATGAACCTTACGGAATTACGTAATCACGTTACGTTGTTATCACGTTACGTTGGTCCAGGCAAATTTTTCTGTTGGAAAGATGGACAACTTTTACAAAGAAATCCATCATTACCTCTTTGAAAATACACTTTTAGCATAGAGCTGCATGTATATCAGGGCTGAACGATTAACTGCATGTGCAATTAAATTGCGATGTGACAAAAGGAGATTTTCTAATCGCAAAGGCTGCAATTTGGCAGCGAGTGGTTAGCGCAATGCTAATATACGTGGAAAAACCCATAGGAATGCTAATATCACCGATTACATTCTTACAAATTATGAATTAGAAATGTGCAAAATTATTACATTTGGAGTCTAATAGAAAGTAAAACTACCATCAATCAAATAAGTACAGACAGATATTTTGGTAAACACACAAAATACTTCAATAAACGGGACACACTTCTTTCCTGCAAATACAATGTCACAGGTGTTGCTAATACCTATGATCCTTCAAGAGATGTGCTCAAAGAGGAGTTCAATATTATGAATACAATATAGTGTTTTATTTTACAAATACCATTATAAACACAAGGACGTTGTAAGACACATTATTTTAATAACAAAACTGCTAAATTCTTTCCAACAGTATAGATGTGTAGTGTATTTTGTCGGAGTGGGTTTGCCGTACTTTGACGTCATCGGCAGTAAAAGGACCCCGAGCTGATCTTGCACCCGAGCAGATCCTGTACCGACACCGGTTCTGCCTTTGTGCCTTTGCTGGTTCCTTTATTTTCCTCCACTGCATCCAGACTACCACACTGTGTGCCAGTAAAAATCATTTTTCTTACACGTAACTTACTTCAATAAAGTTCTCGGGGTAAAATAGTAATTCAAAGATATTGCACCGTTTAAAAATAGTCAGAATGTGCGATCCCAGAAAGTTGAAATATTTTCAACTTTTCATCGCTGTCGCTCGGACGAGGAACAATCAATGGAGGTTTCATTCACTGACCAATGAGCGGACAGGATTCTCCGTACATGTCTGAGCAAACATGAAGGAGAAGTTGAATATCCAGTAAAGGTCCTGGCTATCCGTGAAGCTTGTAAGAGGAGGAAGCTGTCCTACAAAGGTCACCCAATCCGTATCTAAGAGGATTACAGTCTGGAGGTAATGAAAACACGATCTAAATATCGAGTTTCTATGCTGGAGTTATACAAGCGGGGATTCCGCCTGGCGTTGTTGTTTCCGGCCAAACTGCGCATCACCTAACCGAATGGGGATAAGAAGTGGCTCTCATCTGTTTCAGCGGCAGAAAATTTCCTCAAGGACAAGGATGGAACTATTTGAGCAGTAACGCTAGTCACTTTATTGCGATGTCTCTTTTTATTTTTTATAAAATTATGTGGAAGGAAATAATTTCACAGCAAACTCTTCCGAACGCTATGCTGTAATGGGTGATGGAGGGGGGCAAAGGGTGGGAAGTCAGAACATGTGTTAATCGGCTTGGCTTATCAGAGGGAGGCTGTTGCCTTTTGCAACAACCGCTTTTGTGTTTGTTTGTTTGTTGTTACATTACAGTTCTTTTAGTTTTTTCTTTTTTCAGTTTTTCTTTTGTTAGCATCTTAGCATCCAAGGAGATGGGAGAATGCGGGTGTACAAGGGTGTGTTTATGTGTTTTGTATTGTGCTTTTTCTTTCTTTTCTTCTGAAGTTCCCTACTGCTGTTAACACATGAGTATCATAATATACGGGTCTGGATCTGGCGCGAGAGATGTCTGTTAATTATGTTTGAATTTCAATCAATCAGATTTTATTTATAAAGCGCTTTTCAAGCAAAGTGCTTTACGAAAGGACCCCAAATTTCCATAACAGTTTAAAAACATTAACAGACACACGCAAACACACACACACGCACACGCACACACACACACACACACACATCAGTAAAAATTTATATTTGGCTGAGTCCAGATGAGCCAAATAAGGTAAGGCAAGGAAACGCCATCAGAGGAGCCGTGTGCCCCGGCAGCATCAGGTCTTCCATACTAAGTCAGGGCGCTGAGAGGAGGGGGAGCATAGACCCCCACCTCCACTTAAACACTACCTAGGGCGCCCTGGAAGCTACAGTCGACCACCGCCCCCCAGGGCAGAGGGCCCCTACAGAGGAAACACTGGATTAAAATGAGTAAAAATATGAAAATAAAAGAGCTAACATAAATGACAAAAGTAAGAAAATAAGTAATAAATAAAATCATAAAGACAGTAAAATAATAATATTACAAAATGAAATTATGCTAAAATATAATCATATAAAACCTGGAATGTGAAGGGGTTGAATTCTCCAGTAAAAAGAAAGAAAGTAATCAACCACCCGAAACAGTTAAACACCAGAATTGCAGTTTTACAAGAAACATATTTAAACCTGTCAGACCACCTTAGACTTCGATCTTGAAGGGTGTGGCGGGTCTTTCACTCATCATTGAACAGTACAGCACGTGAGGTATCCATTTTCATCCATAAAACTGTTTTATTTCCTACTACTGATGTGAATTCAGATTCTAATGGGTGCTATGTTATTGTTCGAGGCAGAATTAGGAACACTAAGGTCATTGTAATTAATGTGTATGGGCCAAATTGGGATAATGAAGACTTTTTAGGAAACTTTTCTACTCACACCCTGATCTGAATAACAGTCGACTTACTGTTGGCGGTGACTTTAATTGCTGTGTTGATCCAGTGATGGACCGCTCCTCAGTCAAAGCATAACCTGTTACTAAATCTGCCAAATTATTCAGTCATTCATGCATCAGTACGGAATCACAGATGTATGGCATCATTTTAACCCAGCTAACAAGCAATTCTCCTTTTTCTCTCCAGTACATGGTACATTCTCCCTGAATTTATTTCTTTCTATCAGACAAAGAATCTCTTTCTTCAGTTGGCTTTTGCAATTATGATCCTATAATTATTTCTGATCATGCTCCTGCCTCTCTGGATATAACATTCTCAGTCAACCCTGCGTAGCGGTCCCCAGGGCGCTTGGACCCAGCTTCACTCTGTGACCCAGACTTTGTGAAACATATTAACAAATGTATAGGTTTTTATAAATCCTCCAACATAACACCTGATGTAAAAGCCGCCACAATTTGGGACATGGGGAGACATTACAGCTTTTACAGGCCAGAAGAATACAATGACCTCTCAAAAAGGTCAGGCCCTCTATAATGTTATAGCTGATCTACAAGCAAGTTATACAAAATCACCCTCAACTAATACTCTGACTAAAAGTCAAAAGAACTTTAGTCACAATTCTAAGATTAAAACTAAATTAAATGTCTTGTCAAAATTAACAGTGGAGCACAACACTGAGAATCTGATACATCCCCTTAAAAACAAACCCTGTTCAGTTTACTGCAGCAACTTCGACAAAAACGGACCCAGCTGACACTGAGAGATACGTTAAAAACAAAGAGAAACTGCATATAGACTGCAAAAAATGCAAAGACAACAGCATTCATCCCACTCGACAGCTTTCTGTGGTTACAAACGTCTGGTTCTGCCAACTCCTTGAGCCGCGGGACGAAATGCTTTCTCATGCCAACTTTACCGACTCAGCTCTAAAGGTGTTTGGTAGAAAGGAGTGAGCCAGCTGCTGGCCGTTACGTGCTGTGCTGCCCTGCCAATACAGTTGCACATTGACTGAATGATATGAAACAAAAGCTTCGAGGCTACTTTTACATATATTCTTAACATCAAAGGTTGAATATTTAACAATTTAATTATAACCT